GCCCCATCCCTCAGGGTCCCCCATCTCTGCACCGCCGATGGGCAGCCCACTGGCAGCTGGCCAGAGCCCAGGGGCCTGAGGCGTGCGAGCCGCGGCACGGCGTGGGGGGGCGGATGGGAGCCGGTCAGGCTGAGCGGCCGCTCTGGTGGCGCCAGGAGGTTCGCGACAGGCCGAGAGGTCGGCCGCCGTCCCTGGGTGATCCGGATGATTCTTTATCGATCCGTCTTGTCTCCCTATGCTGGACTGCAGCCGGTCTCGCGACCTGCATGCTGGCGATCCTTTTCGTATTGCGCTCTGCATTGGCAGTGATATCATCGGCTCCCATCAGGGTGCATCCTGAAGATCCTCAAGTGTATTGGCCAGATCGTTGCGTGGCTGCCGTGATGTGCCAAGGGAATTGGACAAATTAGATTATGTCGTTTGTTGTTGCGCTTTCATGTCTCCACCCCTCGATCACGCCCCTATTTCGATCTTGCTCGGTTGCCATGCTGCGCCTCCCTTCCAGCTTCGTTCCAGAAGCGGCTCGACATCAGAAGCACAAGCAGCGCCGCTTCGGTGTAGCTTGTGGGCGTTCAAGAGGGGTTAATGATTTAGGGGTGGTGGATATCAAGGCTGGGGGCATGGTATCTCTCCCAATCACTTTCCCCCCCGCTTTTTGTCCTTCAACGCGTGCCTTGGTCCCCCCTCGTCCGCCCACATACATCTGGCCATGATTTGCGACCCCCCCTCCTGGACGCCCGTCTCTTGGATGACCCCGAGAAGCAGGAAGCTCTTCCTTTCAATCCCCTCACCAGCCGCTCATTCGCAGCTGCTAGTTGTGGCCATGCCGAACGGCACAGCCTGTCGTATTTGCGTTGTGGGCCAAGCCATGCCAAACCGCGCGTCCATTCTAGGTTGCCATGCGAACGGTAGCGACTGTGAGCGTGGTGGCTGCGGCAAGAAACGCGGCGACGGCGAGCGTTCCTGGAGCGCGCCTCTTTCGGGTTGGCCCGCTGCTCGTGTGCACGTTTGCGCCCGCCTGCTGTCCTCATAGTGGAGCTGCATACAAAGACCCTACCTTTGTTGATGGCAGTGGTGTGCTTCGCTTCTTGCAATCCAGTGAAGGCCGAGGAATTGGTGTTTGCTGCCACGAAGCTGGATACACACGAAGTGGCTCGCCTGGGCACGTCGCGCGTGCACCGCGTGGTCTCCGCATATTTCGCAAGTGAATCCAGCCGTGTTTCCAGCTTCCATAACATCTTGACACATGTGAGTTCATAAAAAAAGCAAAGGTATCTATACAGCTACCCTGCTACCCTTGTCTTTTTCCCCGCCTTCTTGGGCCTCACGGGAGGCCTTCGTCGCCACGGTTGGATTTCGTTTTGAAATTCTAGTCAGAAAGCACCCCGTGAGAAGTTCGGGGAGCGGTGGTATCGATATCTTTCGCTGTTCCCATAGGTCAAAACAAGGACATGTCCTGGAGCGCGTTCTGAGCTGGATTTCGAGGCAGATCGAGCCGTGGCGACGAGGTCGTCCCGGGAGGCCCAGCAGCGCAACAGCAAAAGCACCCAGATCATTTCCCGTAGCCATCTTTGATCAATGGGCATTCCGCGGGGTTGACCGTTGCGGGCTCCTCCCAGCACGGCGGCGGACGCAGGAACGGAACTGGTTGAGATGGCGGGCAGCAGGGCGCCTGCGGCGGCGGCGGTGCCGATGTTGCCAGTCGGTCTGGAGGCGTCCCCTGGCGGCAGATCTAGAGAGAGCGCAGGCGAAGAGCCGCCAGGCGACATAGCGAGCTACCAAGCGCGGGCGGTCTACGCGAAAGGCAGTCTCGCCAAATGTGCCGAAAATCCGTTGGATACGACTCATGTGCAAGGCAAGGGGACAAGTTAGAAACAGATGAGCTGATAGTTGTATGTGTCGTGACGTCGGCAGGAGCTCATATGGTCATATCGTGGGTACATGCCAAAGTGTGCACTTATGGCGTTTGAGCACTCCCAGTGTAATGACCATTGTTGCGCGTGGGCTCGCACATCAGAACCAAACTTGGGGCCCTGTGGCGACCTGCGGCCAGAGCTGGACAATTTGGCGCAAGTGTTGGAACCAGGACTAACGGTCGAGTCGGCGAATTGGGCCCACAGCCCACGTAGCCAGATGGCACGACACACCACCTTGTCGGCAGCATCACGAAAGAGGAGAGGTGCGGAGCAGTAGCTTTCAAAACAGAGCGGGATGTAAACCTGCTTTGCCGACGACGGTACCGCACGGTCGGTTGGCTTGACGGCGTGAGGGCGAGCCTCGCGCGAGGTACAACAAAAACACAGATTGCGGTAGCGACGCAAGTCTGTTGAAAGACCTTCGGCGAGGAATTGTCGAAGGAACCCTGAGTTTGGATGCGCGCGCTGGCGATGGAAACCGTTGGCGATGACAGTTTGCTGCGCGAGAAAACAGATTCGGGGACGGGGCGGCCAGCGGCCTAGATCGGCAAACTGATATTGCCGTCGAGCTCGGTGGCCTCACCTGCGAGATCCACTTCAAGTGGATCTCGCAGGTGCCGTCGTGTCGCCGCCCCCGCTGCCGTTACGTTCGGGGCCTTGTATATTTTTGTTATTTCTGTAAGGACATACTGCAGCGGCTTAATTTTGACCTATGTCACATCACCTATTTTTTCTACATTTTTCATGCAAGTAAGCTGTTTCCTGGATTCTGAGGCTGTCCATTAGTAGCTGCATTTGAATCCACTTGGATCTCGAACAGGACACCTTTCAAAAAGGGACGCACCCGGCATATGATGCGCGCAGATCGTTTGGCCTCGTCCGCGCCTCACCCAAGCCAGCGACGAGCGTGGACTACAAGCTCCTGCGCTGATGGCGGGATTCGATGTCCCTTCTCATGCTGGGGGCCTTCACGTTCGCGCTGATGTTCGTATTCGAAGGTCGGGGCTGCTGTGCTGGTCAAGCCCCTTTGGATCCTGAGTTTTCACTTGAGCACGGCGGCGATGGGCCAGTGATATTGATGAGACCTTTGCGCAAGTTGGGCGATCTAAGGTCACTCGCATTGGCTTCATATTTCAGAAGCTCCTCGGTCTGAGCCTTCAGCTCTACGTGCCGAAGGACATCGCGCTTCTGGCCGCCACTGGATTCATCTCAGGCTTCATTTTCTCCCTGAGATTGGATCGCCCAGCGCAGCAATTGTTTCCCAGGGTGTTTCTGGGTCCCATTAGCTTTGGTTCCAGGGATTTCGCAGCGCAGGCGACCCGTCTTCGGTCAGCCAAAGCCGCGCTGCAGCGGCACATTATGTCTTATATTTGATTTGGGCCTGGACATCTTCCACAGCTTCTATTTCGTCTCATCACGGCGCAGTTCGGAAGAACGTTTGGCCGGCAATTTCGGCATCGGCTGGGCGGGCGTTGACTAGGACGCGCAAACGTTGTACCCAGAGTTTCGTGCGACGGCTGGCTTCGCTACGCTCAAGGCATCAATTTAAGTGCGCAACTACCGAAGAAGAGGATGTGAAAGCGTCGAAGCTGCGTTTGCGATTACCTGTTCGGGAAGCCGCGGCGTACCTCACCACTACGATGTTTTAGACGGCGGCACATGCAACGCATATAAGGCTTCACGATTGTTTTATGGGAGCCATGCGAAGTCGATGTTGTTCAGCGCGGTGCGCAAGCGTCGACGCCCAGACTAATTCTCGAGCAGTGGCGAAGCGTCCTGGCTCGCCTATATCCCTAACCAAACAATGTTCTAAGAGCCTGTTGTGGTTTCCACGAAATGTTCGTAGAACATTTCTGGTTGGGACCGTCTTGCTTTAACGCATGAGGCTTATGCTCTAAGAACATTGTGTTTATGATTAGAACATTCTGGGGGTCTAAGGACACTTCGTAGTAGGAATATAGGAATGCCGGGACGGTCGGTCCCTGCTCAAAATTCTTGCTCACCATCTCTTGGGGTCGCCTGGGGATGTCGTTTACTTGTCCTTTCTAGGTTTCGTGAACCCTCCCTCCTTCCTGCCGTCGCTGTGAGATGTGTCAGACGCTGTGAGGCACCCGGCGCCACCTCGCCCTCCCCGCAGGCGCGAGGCTGTGGCCCGTCTCGGCGAGCGCGTAGGGGAGCATTGCGGCGATCGCCTCGAGGCCAGAGCGTTGAGCAGTGGCTTCCCGTTGCTCCTCCTCCTCCTCCTCCTGCACAGGCATGGGCTCTTTGTGCCGAGCAAAGTCACACGGGCTCGATACTCCTGGAACATATACTGCGCAGCCGTGCGCGTGCGCGTGTGATTTTCTGTGCGCGTTTCTGGGCCTGCCCTCCCCCTTCCCTTCCTGCGTCTTGGCATCGCCCGAGCGCGCGTGTTTTTTGTTAAAAAATGGGCGAGAAACATCTTGCCTGAAGTCGGGCCTGTCACTCTACAGGGGGAATACTTAAAAATTGTAGAATCATAATCTGGGGAGTATTTGTTGTGTATTTTCTGATCACGTTGGATTATGTTTTGAATATGTTTCATTTTTCGTCGAAATCCCCCTGTGGGGGGACACGCCCGACTTAAATCTTGGCTCATCGCGGGAAGAATACGCGCACGAAGCTGAAAAATGCAAGGGGAATAGACGTCCGAGCGACGTCAAGGCGTCCTCCTCCTCCCCATGCCCCTCCTCTGCTTTGGCGTTGCGTGCGTCTGCCCCGCCCGCTGAGCGAGGAAGAAATCGGCCGTCGACTGCACCGTGTCCTCGTTTGCGCCATACCTCCCCGCCACAGGTGCGGCCAGCGATTAGATGGCGTCGGGCCGCGCCGCACTGCCGATGCGTCGGCGATGCGGCTCGAGATGAAGCCCGATGATCTCCATGCCGATGGCGCGATGCGTCGGCGACGTCGCCGATGATCGCCGAAGAATCGCCGACGCGGTGCGGCAACTGCCAAGAGGGCTTGCCAGTGAGCCAGAGAGCTCTGTTCAGAGGGTGTGCGGCTTCGGGCAACATCATCCTCAGTGGGTGTTGCGGGTTGGCCGGGTAAGCAGTTGAAGTGTTGCTACATGAGTTCGATTGGTATCCAGTTCGCTTGAACCCCTATACGTGCGCCTCGGAACATGCCCCATCCGTCCGTGGGCACGAGTCTAGATAGCGTATGGCCGTGCATAATCGCCATTTCACCTCAAGCGGCAAGGCATGCGTTATGCTCTAGCCATGATCCCCGTTTTACTGAAGCAGCCGACTGAAGAAAGAGTTGATTATCGAATCGTACCATGTTTTACTTGCGCGCGTGCGCCTCTGAGTTCATCGGTACCTTCATGCTTGTGTTCACGTTGGGCTGCAACACCATGAGCGGGCAGGTGGTGTGGGGTGGGATCTCCACGGGATGTGTCCTCATGGCCCTCACTTACGCACTGGCCCCGATCTCGGGCGCACACTTCAACCCCGCGGTCACCTTCTCCCTGGGCGTCCTGCGGAGACTGGAGGGCGGGTGGTTCACCGTGGCGCTCTACTGCGCCGCGCAGCTCGCGGCCGGGGTCGCCGCCTCGCTCTGCTGCAGCGCCCTCTTCCTGGGCTGGGTCGAGCTCAGCCCTGCGCCCGGGCACGGGTGGGCGAGCGCCTGTGCCCGCCTCGGCTGCGGCTCGATCCACGGCTCTGGCTGCGGTCGCAGACCGCCGATCCAGCCAAGCAGCGCTGACACAGTTGTTTTTTACAAAGGTAGTGAAACAAAAGACCCAGACCCCGACAGCTGGCGTTTACGAAACGGCCCTGGGCGTGGACTGAACAGCCCTGCCCTGTTCGCTTTCTCCCCTGGGTGTGTTTACGAAGCGGCTTCGCTTGTCGGGGTGCTTATCATGGGGGTGGATTTTCTGGCCTCCAGGTTTAAGTCGGGCACGCCCCTCGACAGGAGGAATATTCAAGAATAGTAGAATATAATATGGTGATGAGAGAGAGAGAGAGAGAGAAGCTGAGTGCAAAAACGCACATGAGCACGAAAAACAGCCTCAGAGGGCATCGCAGTACCGCGTGACGGTTGCGTGCCAGGCTGCGATGGACTGCACTGAATCTTGCCACAGATGCGCAAGGGCCTCCTCACCCCGCGCTGCCCGGACAGCGTGCGCATGTATCTCAGAACACCACGTTTTTCTCGGTCGCCCCCTCCTCCTTCTGAACATTGTTTATCCGTTTAGAATGTGTTTGACTACCTTGGATTTTTCCTCCAAAATCCGCCAGCAGGAGGACATGCCCGACCTAACTCTCTAGGTTAACTCGTTGTCAAGATGCGGTCCTCTCGCCTCCGGAGTCCCACCGCCCCCCCCCCCGGGAGCCTCCCAGGGACCCTCCGCAGGAGTCCGCCTGGGAAGCCCAGGCCGCCCCCCACGGAGGGCCAGGGCAGATTTCTGGCATCGCTCGGACGTGTGCACTTCGGGGAGACAACCATCGTGTGGGGAGGATGGGGTTGGGAGACGTGGGGATACCCTTGCCCGTAGGCGGCCGAAGGTATCGTTCATTGCATCCGGATGCTATTGCTCATACCCTCTATCCTCCCAACCCCTCCCTCCCAACACGATGTTACCAGTGTGAAACATATCCCTATCCCTGTGTTTGGCATCACCTCACCTCGATGCCGACCTGAAGGATTCCCTCAGTTTCTGAGGGCACATCCATAAGATTGTCCTCGCGTTTTGCTCGCCCATCTCAGGGATAGGGATAAGTTCAAGGCTGGTTACAGTGGTTGTTCTCCTTGGCATTTTTTCTCGGCCAGGACCATCGAGGAGCATCTTTGGTTCGCCCTGCGAGGAAATACACGCACGAGGCCGAAAAATGCACAGGGAATGGCCGTCCGAGCGACGGCGAGGCTGTCGTCGGGGGATCACGCCGCATCGCCGATGCAGATGCCTGCGATGCGTAGGGATCCCAGGCCCCGTTTTCTCCATCACCGCGTCGCCAATGCATCGACCATGCGGCGTAATGTTCCGACCCCATCCTGGCCCCATTTCCCTGTGGATTTCGGAGGGCCGAGTCCGAGTCTGGCTGAGTTCGGCTGCGAATCCGAGCCAGAGGATGTTGGACAAAATTCAAGTTTGTGTTTCCAGCACGTTGGAGGTATAGACCTTTGTGGGCCCTGGGAACGGCAGGGTCAATTTTTTTGCAGTTATCAAGCCATTGTTTTTGGAACATAAGAGCAAGAACACACTTGCTCGAATTAGGCAACAGAAACAAAAAGAACGACACCGGGATTGGAACCGGAACCGACAGACAGCGGCGACGGAACCAGGGAAACGACGGCGCCAGAGCCGGCAACAAAAATGCAAAGTGGAGCCAGTGAACAACAACGCCCCGCCGCTTCCAGGCCCACCAGGCCTGAGCCCATGCCTGACGTTGCCCCCGAGGGGCCCCCCGAGCCCCGATCGATGCGCGAGGCCGCCCTGGCCCGAAGCCCGACCAGGGAACGCACTGGACGCCTAGACGCCAGGCCTCCCCAGGACGCGCCCCCACGCCTCCGACGTCCAGAGCTTCGAGGGCCCCCAAGCGTTGCGGTGCCCGCACTGTGTGGTGAGTTCGCGGGGAGTCGGGGTCACCGCACCGTTCTGGGGCTCGGGCCGTTCTTCGGGCGGGGCCGGAATGCTCTCAGAGCGTTCCAGGCCGCGGCGCCCGAGACATCCTCCAGGGCCGCCGGATCTCAGAGGTTCTCGAGTTATCCTCACCCGAGTTTACCCTCGCCCTGGCTTCGTCAGGGCCCTCCGAGGACGTCTCGGGCGACTGGACCCCTCCCACCTCCTGCGGCCCGTGCGGCACCAGAAGCGTCCCGGTCGGGCGGGCCCGTGTTGGCCGCTGGCTCGTCGGGGGCCCGGCCCCAAGAGGGGGGCGTTGACTATGGGGGGAGGTATCCTGGCTGGGGCCATGATATCTTATTTCATGGCTATCGCATGGCGCCTCCATCCATTTCAATGCAGTCCCTTCCCCCCCCACCCCCGGCCGTGCACATGCCTCGGGCCATGATTTGCGTACCCCCCTCTTGGATGCCTCTTGGACGCCCCCGACCTCGGGACCTCGCGTCGGTCGGTCGCCCGCCGCCGCCGTGGTCGTGGTGGTGTTCGCCATCGTCGTCGTGGTCGTCGTCGTGATCGTCGTCGTCTCTGATGAGGAGGGGGAGGAGGTGTTGATGATGCGACGCTCGGCTTCGCTGTCTGGTGCTCGACCCGCGAGGGAAACCCGCGGGGGAGGAGGAGTGGAGAGGGAGAGGCAAGGAGGCAGGAGAGAGGAGGGGGGCAGGAGTGCAGGAGGGAGGCAGCACGCCCCCCCCCCACCCCCCAAGGCGGACGGGCAGGATCGGTCCGTGGCAGTCGTGGTCGTCGTCGTCGGCGTCGGCGTCGTCGTCGTCGTCGCTCGTGATCCTTGTCGCCTCAGGGGATGATTTTGGGGGAGGATGGGGGGAGGGAGAGGCAAGGAGGCAAGGAGGGAGTAAGGAGGCAGGAGTGGGGGGGAGACGGAGCCGCCCCCCCACACCCCCTCCAGGGCGGATTGGAGTGGTGGGATCGGTCGGGGCCGTCGTCGTCGTCGTCGTCGTCGTCGTCGTGATCGCCGTCGTCTCCTATGAGGAGGGGAGGGGGAGGATGACAAGCTAGGTGCGCTCGCGTCATATCTGACGTCCTGCCCCTCCCTCCCATCCCTTACCATGGGGTAGATATCCTCTCTATTCGCACAGTCGGATGTCGAGCAGGGCAATGATCGCGAGAGGGTCCGTCATGCATGGTAGAGCACGGCATGGCATGGCGTATCAGAGCACGGCAGAACGTAGCATGCCATAGCATGACATGGCATTGCGCAGTGAAGCAACATGGGCAAAGCATTGCAACGCAAAGTATGGCATCGCACAGCGGCGCAGAACACAACACCGCACAGCATGTCATGGCATGGCGCTGGGCTCCTTGGAGGGTAAGTGGATCGTCTTCGAGAGGTCTGGGCCAGTCTGAAGTCGTGGCTCCATGTCTAGCTCCTTGGGCTCCCCGAACAGCTCCACACAAGGCGGGGCTGATGGAGAGCACCCGCTGGCTCTGCGTTCAACATCGCCTTCTCGAAGCAGAGACGGGGCTCTCGCTTGATACTTCCTGAAAATAACGACGCCCCAAAGTGGGGGGGCTTCTGCGGCCCAAGAAGTCAACAAATCGACACCGAATGTGCAATCACTTCCGATGGCTTTTTCGAGGAAGGGGGGGGGGCGGTCATTTTTTAGATTTTTGGGCCTGTTCGGAAAGACCGAAAACGCCCGCGCTGCAGCAGGATCACGATTTGGAGCAACCAGAGGCGCAGCAATGGGGCCAGCGCTTCAGCGGGAGCAAATGAAAACAACAAAGAAACGGAAATTCATGTCCCGGGAATCTTGTGTGTTAAAAACAGTACGCGGAGGGGGCCGGACATCTTCCAGACGTCATCAGGGGAGAGGAGAGTAGCGTTCATATGTGTATATGTGGTGGAGGAGGAAGAGGAGGAGCAGGAGGAGGAGCAGGAGGACGCGGAGGAAAAAGGGGAGAAGGGAGGGGGAGGAGGAGAGGGAGGAAGAGGAGGAGGAGGAGGAGGAGGACCAGGAAGAGGAGGGAGGGAGATGCAAGGAGGCAGGAGGGGAGGAGGGAGGCATGCGGGGAGGAAGGCTGACCTCGCCGAGGGGAGCCTTTGCCCCTCCGCGCCCAACGCACACACACACACACATACAGCGACGGGGGGGGGATCGATCGGGAGCCGGGCCCGCACGTCCGAGGCGCCTGCGAGGCGCTCTACACCTGCATGCTCTGCTTCGTAGGATGCCTTTTCTGTCACCACTTTCGTCGCTACCCTCATTGTCATATGTACACTTCATGGCCGTCGTCGTCATCGTCATTGGCACCCTTGTCTTCGTCGTCATCTCATGTCATCGTGACCGTCACCACTGGTGGCCCCGAGGCGTACGCATCAGCGTCGTCATCATCGTCGTGGAGGGTTTCCAGCATTGCCCTTTTTGGTAGAATGTTGGTCGGGCTTCGTGGCCACATTGGGTGTTGAACGAGGCCCCCTGGTGTCTTTATACCGACCGGAAGCCTTCACCTTTTGATGTTCCTCTGTTCTTGCTACTGCGCAGAACGAGGATAAGTATACATCGTTAGTGTCATTGCGCTGGCAATACCAATGACACATGCCTCACTGCTGGCAGACATACGCAAGCAGAGCACGCACACGTGCATGCAAGGCGATGTGAATGTTGCAGGCAATGGACGTGCCGCTCATGACTCCGATTGGCTCATGGCCGTCCCCCTTCTTCTCTTTGTCGTTTCTTCTCTGCTCCTTGGCCGTGCGAACGCTGTTGCTTTAGGCGGCTCATCTGTGTTGGCCCAATAGGAACCGAGAGTCGTTGCCGCATAGCATTGCCATGCAACGCAACAGCAATGCCATCCCAAAGTGAGATCGGACCGAACTGTATCCTACCCGTGTGCAAACGAACCGGGTTTCATCGAGACGCAGGGCAATAAGGCGTGCTTGAATGTTTCTACATACTTAGACGGGCTTGTTGCATCAGTATTATCATTATTGTCGTCATCGTCTACCGTAGCCAGTTTGGTCAACAACAGTCGGTTTAAGCAGGGACAGCGTGGTAGCGCCTGACGTCTGAGCACCACTGCGTCGAACATTTGCCATGGCATTCCAAAGCTGCTTTCGCGAGATTCTGCCAACGCAGCCCAGTCGAGCAGTTGGCTTATGGCTGAAACATGTCTTTTTGTCAAAGCCGTTATTGTTTCGCCCAGGGTTTCATATCATTTGCAAATCGGAGTTGCAGAGGAAAGCTGTGGATGCCATACTGCAGGAGCCGCTGCACCCCGAGCTGATTCACAAGCATGCGTGTCATCTTGTTGGCGTGAAGACTCGCGTGGGATTTGTAGGGGTGGAGGAAATCTTGGTCGAGACCTCTATCGAAGAGTCTCGCATTTCGTATGCCTTTTCTGGCGGACTCGCGTCCATGCCTGTCCGAAACCATGTCGGACATGTTCTATTCGAAAAGAAGGGGCAGGAACTCACAGAGATGATATGGAAGATGAACTACGACACATTTGCAGTTCCCGGCTCTGCTGTTGATTTGATGTTCCGAGGGACGATCCCAATTTTCGTTGCCCGGGTCAAGGAGGCTTGTGCCGCCGAGTAGATCGGGATCGCTTGCGATAATTTGCTTCAAACAGATCTTGAAATGGCAGGTTCGGCGGAATACCCATCCACATTGGTTGACGATGAGCTCGGCTACACATCTAGAGGGAGCCTGTATTCTTCAAATAGTGCTTGCACTTCGGGTTTCTCACTTGTCTTCTAAAGGGAAAACTGCCTGGCTGGTTGCCCGGCTGGCTCCTCGCCGCCCGTCGCCGCCGCCCTTCTGGGCCTGGCTGGCGGTCCGGCCAGCTCGTCGCCGCCCGTTGCCGCCCGTCGCCGCGGGCCCGCCTGTGCTCGGGTGGCGGTCTGGCCGGCGGCTCGTCGCCGCCGCCCGTCGCCACCGAAGTTTGGTTGCAAGTTCGGCTCTGCGTTGATCTCGTACGCTCTCTTGTCTCAAAGAGTGTCAGGATCTGCCTACCCCCCCCCCCCGGACTTCACTGGTCACCTTCGCGTACTGCGATTTACGTACGATTCTGCTCCATCGTCCATCCGAAGTCATACCATCCCAGCCACGGCGGAGCTCGGTCCCCCCCCCCGAACCTCCATGGAAAAATACTACGCGCGCACATTCGCACATTCGTTTATCAAAAATCAGCAGTTTTCCCAAAACCCGTGCAAAAGACAGGACGAAGTGCAAACGCGCGCGTCGTCGCGCGCGCATCCCGAAATCTTTCAAAAACCGTAGGTTTCGTGAGGGTTTCAAAATCGAGTGTACACCTATAATCAACACAAGGTTTTGCAACATCCGTTCTTATTAAAACAAAAAACTGCGCTCGCGGTCTTGCGGAGTTTTTCAGAAAACCATAGGTTTTTCCAAGCTATTCATCAAATTCTGGCAAACGGGCCTCTCGCGCCGCATGTCGAACTCATTCGAACGCCCTTGCGCGCCGCGTGCGGGGGGGGGGGGGCGCGATCCGTTTCAAATAATTCCATTCCGCGCCTGCCACTCGCGCGCGTCGGGCGCGCGCGCATGTCGAACTCCTTCAAAAAAATTGTTTCATCGCCGACGCGAGGGCATCGTCATCGTTATCGGCGGGCGTGATCAATATCGGCGCCGTCATTGGCCTTGCCTTCGTCATCGCCACCATCCTCACAATCATCGCTACTTTCTTTATCGTGTCTATCGTTGTCGGCGTCGCTATGATACCGCGCCCGCCCAAGCCACCGACTCGCACTGAAGTGCCTGTTGGGAATTGTCTCGCGGTCAGCGACGCCGCGGCCGCGTCGGCCGCACCAAACTAGCTGGCCGTTGTGCGCGCGAGCATGCGCGGGTTAGCGCGGCCGCAGAGATGCACCAGCCAACGCCAAGCACTCATCGCAATCTCCGCCGCATGGGTTTTGCAAACCAAGTTGTGGGTTGATGGCAAAATGCTTGCAAAAATATGGAAGCTGTCAATTCATTTGTCAAAATCAATTTCACCACATAGATTGCGCCGCGTAGCTTAGATTCCACCACGTTAATTGCACCGCGTGGGTTGCACAACATATTGCATCACATAGATTGCACCACATAAGCTGCGCTACATAGATTACACCACAAAGTTTGCACCACATAGATGGCACCAGAAAAGTGGCACCACGCAGCTTACACCACATAGATTACACCACAGAGCTTAAAACATGTACTTTGCACCACATAGATTTGTATTGCACCATGTTGTATGCTAGAACACACTGTCTGGGGCCCGCGCTGGCTGACATTATTCGGCCAGCTGTCTAGCGGCCTCATGACCAATGCCCCATTGCATCCGGCTCAGTGATCTTTGCTCTGCACGTTGTGACTGGTCAGGCATCAAGGACAGTGCTGCGGGCGTTGAAGCTACGGCAGACGTTTCGCGTATCCCCACTAGCCCATCCAGAACCGATCCCCTGGTGGTTTGATATAGTCATGGAGCGCGGGAGCATGCAGTGGATCAAAAGGGTTATCTGTCAAGCCGAAATTCGGGGTCAGCCTGTGAAGAAGACCCAGGAGTCAACCATGAAGGCCGTCGGGTACATTCCGACCTGGGGGCCTTCCAAAACAATTCGCGGTAATATCTGGCCGCTGTCGAGGCCTGTTGGGAGGCCTGTGGGCACTTGGGCATCCCATGGGCCCCTCTCCGAGGCCTTGGCGGCCCTCTTGGGGTCCTCTTGAAGGCCATCGGTCCAAAAGGGGCGGCGCCGAGTCGCACCGCCCCTCGGAGCCCGAAGACATATCTTTTGGAGCCCTCTTGTCTCGAGCCACCCGCGGGCGCTCGCGGGGCCGTCTTGGAGTCGTTCTGGCTCCTCTGGGGGCTCTATTTCTTGGCGCCATCCTGAGGCCCCAGAAGCCCAGCGGAATCGAAGAGACGACGAAACGGAGTTCGTTGAAAGGCCGAGGGTGTTTGCAGGACGCTGGCATCTTGGAGTGGTCCTCGGGAGGCTCGCTGAGTCACTTGGATGCACCCTGGGGGCATATTGGTGGCATGTTGGAAGTTATCTTGGATTAGATTGTGCCACCTTGGAATTCATGTTGAGCTATTTGTAGCCCCCCAGAGGCCAAAATCCTTCCAAAAAGCATTCGGGAAATGTATGATTGCTGCCCTCTCGCCTTTTCGCCGCCGAACGGCTCTTGAGGCTTCAAGATGACCCTCCGAACGGCCAAGGACGTGCCCAGGACGGCCCTATAGGCCCTCACGCGAGGCTCACAAGAGCGCCCCAAGAGAGCCCCAGGCGCTCCACACCTCGAGAAAGTTCCCAGGCACCACCGTCCCTGTCGCCAGAACGGCCCCAAGAGGCTCCCACGAGGCCCAGGCAGGCCTCTGAGAAGCGGCCCCCCCCAGGGGCCCCCATGGGGCCCCCCGAGAGGACCCCGCGAGGCCCTCGGACGCCCCTCCCCAAGAGGCCCCCAGGATGGCATCAAGAGAGCTTCTTTTTCCGCTGTGTGGCAAAATGGGGAAATCTTCCAACCTCCTCCTCCTCCTCCTCCTCCTCCTCCTCCTCCTCCTCCTCCTCCTGCTCCCTGCTCCCTCCTCCCTCCTCCCTCCTCAAACCTTTAGCGGACGCGGAAGAATCGAACAACAAAAAGCGGCATCAAGCATCAGTTTGTGGCGGTCCGCGCGCATTTCGTGGATCGGCGTTGGGCCCTCTTGTTACAGCACCTCCGGCGCCGCCCTTGGCGCGCTCCGCGCGCCAGGAAAGGGGCTTCTGGCGCAGTTCCAAGAAATCCGCGCGGAGCTCCGAAAGTCTATGTCTACGCCGTTGTATATTCCTGTGGGGTAGGGGAAGGGGTAAATCTCTATCCGAGACGGAAGAAGGGGGGTGGAAGAGGAGACGCGCTATGCCCCCTAAGCCCAGAGGGCTGGTGGCATTCGCCCATCTCGGAAACTTCAGCTGGGACGCGAAACTATTTGATTGGACCTGTGCAAACCTTGGCGGAGGCGCCCTCTTTACTGCCATATTTCAGAGGCTGTGTCTTCACTGCCGCTTGTAGTCTGTAGCTGCAGCGCCTCGCCGCCACTCCTAGAGAGCGCGGCGGACTCTAGCGAAAAACGTCAGCATCGTCATCATCACGCTCCTGTGGGAGAAATGTTTTTGCCCCGTCAGCCCCTCCCGGTGCTGTCCGGGCGATGTGCTCCCAGCAGTCCATGACCTCGGCGAGGGTCCGTCCCAGCGAGTGGGGCAGATTCCGCTGCGGGGGGCAGGCAGCCCGGCTCGGCGGCCCGTGCCTTGGCGCCGCGTGGAGCAAGACCGGCCCCCAGTTCTCAACGTGGCTGCCAGCGAGGCCAACGCAGACCGGCAATTCTACGGCGTCGCCATCGGCCTCGCGGTCATCGCGGGCACCTACGGCGCTGGCGCCATCTCAGGGGCATGCTTGAACCCCGCCTTGGTGACCTATTCGGGAAGCTGGCGCCGCTCCGCCCTCCTCGGCCCGTGGAGGCTTTGAGCCGTGTGACGCCTGGAAGGCGGCTGTGGAGATCGTCAGTGGCTTCGGTTTTGTTACGCCACGCTTGTTCGCGGCCTGCCTGGCGAGGGCGCGCAACCACCACGCTCGTCTGTTGCGGTGCGCTTCCCCTCTCTCTTTCCCTGCCCTGCTCGGGCTGCCCGTCTCTCTCCCTTCTGTCCCGAGTCCGGTTCGATTTCCCCCTCCCGTCTTCCTTCTCCATTCGGCTACACGTAAGAGTAATTGTTCGCCTCGGTGACCCTTGGTGCGGGCCCAATGGAGCCCCCCGATCGCGGTAGCAGCAGCGTGCGCGCCTGGCGGTGTCCCCAAAGGGCCCCCCTTGGCCGCGCACGAAAGGTCACTCTTGCCCAAGGTCACGATTGCGTGTAGTCGAACATGTGCCTGAATATGCTTCACACATAAAGCCAAAGCCGTGAAAACACGATGGCTCACCTCCAGGTCAACGAAGGGAATAAGGGAGAGGCCTGGTTGCGATGCGCGCGGGTTGGCAATATCTCTGTGCCGTATGCTGACATGCAGGCCAGCGCGGGAGAGGGTCATTGAATAGTAAACCCGACGTGAGTCAAGATCAAGGTTGGCGGGAAATTCATGAGGTGAAAGGCGAGCAGTAAAAGAAGCGAACGAGTGGACAATCAATCACGCAAGGATGTGCACAAGCAGTCGTACAATCAGTCACACGATCAAGCAAGCATAGACCATGGAAGCAAGCCCACAAGCAAGCACACAATCCATCTATCAATCAGTCAAGCACGCACTCACACAAACAAGTGGCAATCAAGCACACAAACATGCACAATATAAAGAAGCTATCGCAGCAGACAAAGTGTGGAAAATGAGCAACGCAAGGACAGAAAGGAAAGCAAGTAAGGCAAATAAGCAACACAAGCAAAGCATACAAAGCAAGCAATTCAATCAAGTCAATACGCTTTCATATTCCTAATTGCGGAAACAAGCACGCGAGCAAGCACGCAAGCAGTAAGGCCCATGCAAGCGAGCGCGCAAGCAGGCTTTCAAGCACACAAGCAAGCAAGCCTGCGTACACGCACGCAAGAGGTCGATGTGGCTGAAAGTTTCTCGTAGGCTTCGGGTGTGGATTCGGGATCGGAGCCGAAAGCGAGCAAGCACAGAGATGACCCAGCTTGGGATACTGAATTAGAGGTTCGTTTGTGCGAAGTCGGATTCGGAATCTCATCGATACGAAATTGCAATGCGATCACATTGAATTGATAGCCCTGGTGGGCGCCTCCATCTGCCCGCCGAGAGCGGATTCCAATCGTTGTTGAAGTACGTTGGCAAGCCGATAATCGATGCAGCAATTGCCAGCAGATGGTCAACGAAGCACCTGCCTCACAAAGCTTTGTTTACCGTTAGTTACAGTGGACGATATAGTTGAGACCAAACTCCTTTGCGCGTGACAGAAATTGCTGTAACACGCGTGTCGGACTGTCGAATAAAATGAAGGCGCGTTAGGCTGACATTCCAAAGACAGTGGCGCTTACAATTTGAAGAGCGAAGCCTAGAAACTATCCGGCAATTGACGTCCCGGAACTGACTGTATTGAAGAGTCCATATTTGGGCTTGATCGTTTGGCCTTGGTTGTCAAGTTGTTTGTGTGTTGGCGGCGGTTGACCGCAGGTTCTGGTAATATCGCCCCTTGAATGAAGACCCATGTGGTGGTCAGGTGACATGGTCCCGCTTCGATGTGTTCCCATCCGATCGAGTCCTGTTCGATACCCGCCCACCCGACAGATCCCGACAAATGGCAGCTGCACCCAACAGGGCCCCACCTGATAGTCCGACCCCACAGGGTCCAAACCGTAGGCTCCCACTTCAAGGATGACGTACTCGCTATTATTTGAGTTTGCATCATGTTTAGCTTCTCCCAACCATATGTTTGAAATTATTTTGCTTCGAGCGATCCCCACCGAAACCTTCGGCGTTTGTTCCCGAGGCTGGTACTGTTTGTTACTGTGGCCAGCTTGATTTCGGCGCGCATGTCGCGATCACAACGACGCCGTTATTCGGTCGTTGTTGCATTCGACTTTACATATCACGTTACGATCGATTATGTTATGTTCCATCCGCATATGAGCCATTCCTGTGGCCAGCCTTACCTAGGCTCGCGTGTTGCGTGTGATAGGGCGCCGTTATTCGGTCGTTGCTGTTTTCATTCGGCCGCCTGCGATTATGTTATTTGCATGTACGTTCTACTCTGTGATAATGTATTACGCTACGTTATGTTACCGGCTGGCCTTTCGTCGTGACGCGTGTCACGTTCGTTACGTCTTTCAATCGGTCGTTGTTCGGCTTCTTGTTTTTGTGGCCAGCCTGGCCGCGGCGCGCAAGTCGCGTTCGATCGGGCACCGCCAATCGGTCGTTGATGTGTTTGTGTCTCCTATGCTCAGCACTGCATGACTGCAGAAGTATTGAATGTTTGTTTTGGGTCATGTCATACCCTGGTTCCTTCGACCAATTGTTGGTATACTCTATCCTGCTATGCTGTGTTACGATAAACCGCATTCTTTCATCCAGTCGTATACAGTCTAGTTATGATGTGCTCTGCCTGCTTGTGCTCGGGAAGTTTAGCCCTTAGTTCATAATGAGCAGTCTCTTCGTCAGTAGTTTGACATTGCGCTCAAAGTTGCATGCCCATGGACTGTTTCTTCAGTGTTCTGGGTTCTTGCATTGCGTTCGTTGCTCGCATATACGATCCCCTAGCCAAGTGTAAACAGTATATGGGATGACACTATGGCATTGCACTCCTACGCATGTTTTCCATTGACTGTTCCAGTACTCTGGCAGTGCACTAGTATCGTGGTATTGCATTCCAGGAATAATCTCTCTGCAAGTATTTGCCACACTTCCGCGAGGTTGCAGTCTACTACTTGTGTGGTGCATTATGGTGTGTAGTTGTTTGTGTAAATGTATGCGGCATGTGATGGTCAAATATAGTGTCCGTTGCACGTTGCCAAGACATGTTCGATACTGGTGGTGATACCGAGTATGCTCTGAAATACAAGTTGCAGCTATTTCGTTGCGGTGTATTGTGACAGGCTCGTTTATGCGATGGCAGCATTTCTAGATTATGACATGCCAAAATCGTTTGTAATATAGTCGTCGCCGTAGTGGTAGCAGTAGTAGAACAGCTATGGTATGGTATCATCTGTTCTGGTATGCTCTACTACGCCGTGTCCCGCAATGTCACAGCTTGATGTGTCGTGATATCGTGCTGCGGTATGGCATGATGCGGTGTTCCATGGTCGGTGTTGCGTTGTTCGGCTACGTGATGTTGCGGTATGGTTTGCCATGTATTCTATATTGTGCACGTGCCTGTTGTGGCACAACAAGCTACATTCAACTACGTTCGCGTTTTCTGTGCTAGTATACGCATTGTCGGTTCGACGCCAGTAGTCGAACGCGTGTTGTATGGTATGGTATGTATGTTATATTGTGTCATGGTAGTCAACGCTTCGCCACAACATGATGCGTTATGGTACGGTGTGGTGTGTAGTGTTGTGGTATGATTTGGAACGGTCTCATACAGTATGCCATGTTGCGCAGTATGCTGGTCTGGTCTGGTATGTTGTGGTACCGTGTTTCGTTATATAATGCTTTAGTATGTTCGTCGTCGGTACGAGTATACATTAGGGTTTTCTGTGTATCCTACCGTATGTTCGTAGCCGTAGCGGCATTAACAGTAGCTCAAATATGTGTTGGTATACGTGTTGGTGTGGTGTGTTGTGTTCGGCCATCGTGAATGATGTTCTGATGCAGTCCACCATAGCATTAATTGATATAGTATGGGATGTGGGTTGTGATGGTACGGTGTGTTACCTTGCGGTGCCATGGTATGCTATACAATGGTATGGTATGGTATGGCAGTGTGTGTTATGATGTGATCTGGCCATTATATTGCGGCATGTGACGCGTTGCTATGTTGCGCTTTGTTGTGCCATATTGTGGTTGGCCTGATGTATGTGCCCGTTGCTGGTGTTCTTGATGCGGAATCTTCACGTTTCTGTGTTCATGCGACGTGACGCTTGGACGCCGTGACGCCGTGACGCCGTGACGCCTTCACCTCGGGGCTGTCTGGTATGCAGGGCGATGTTCAGGGACCAGTTGGAAGGATGTTGTGGGGCCTTGCGCCCGCGGTACGGCGTCGTAATTCGTCGAGGATGCGTGGCGGAATGCTCAGGCATCACCAGGATCCTGCGGAGTCTGGCACCCGCAGTATGCAGGTTGGGCAGACGGGAGTTCTTTTCTTAAGATCCAACAGCTCCATCCTGTCGTGTGAGGAAATACCGATTTGTACAGGACGCGATGCCACACCAGTTGAAACACACGTCGACTATGGGCCCTGTTCCGAAACAAGAACTCGAGAGGCCGAAGGGGAGGAGGAGGCCGACGGCGACGAGGCCGAGCGGGAGGGAGGATGGAGGAGGAGGAGGAAGAGGAGGAGGAGGAGGAACGAGGAGGAACGAGGAGGGGGTGGACCGAGGAGCAGGAGGAACTGTTCCCCAAAGATGGGCTCCCCTGGCGATTTCAGCTGCCATCGCAGAGAGCTGGGCTTTGGGGGAGGCGTGTGGCTCGACTCCGCCTTGTGCGAGCCCGAGGCCCTCAGAGGGCAGGGGCTCCCGCGGACTTTTTGCTTGTCGTGACTTCATGCTCGCTGGAGCGTCCACTGTTCAAGCTCGAGCGAGACAAATACCTGTCGACCGTTTCAAACGCGCGCGTTGTTCCAAGCCGTTCCAAAGGTTTCGGAATGATTTGCGCGTCCAGGATGTGGGCCGCCCTAGACGCCGCCCTAGCGAGTCCGCCTGTCTTGCCATGTCTCTCTGCATTTCTCTCTCTCTTTCTCTCTCCCCCCCTCTTTCTTTCTCTCGGTGTATCTGTCTCTCTCTCTCTCTCTCTCTATATATATATATATATGTCTATCTCTCGTCGTTATGTCTGTCTGTCTGTCTCTTTCTCTCTCTCTCTCTCTCTTTCTCTCTCTCACTTTCTCTCTCTCTCTCTCTCTCTCTCTCTCTCTCTCTCTCTCTATGTATATATATATATTTATTGCATGCAACTGTATATATACACACATGCGTGTATGCATACGGGCGTGTGTATTTGATGTGTAAGCATTTCTTATGCTCCACACATATGTATAAATATATATATATATATACAGATAGATGGAAGTGTACCAACCGATTCGCTATGCAGCTCAGGTCCTCGTCGATCTGTTTCGTGCCGCTCTCTGTGCCAGTTTCGTTCTGGATCCAGTGGCGATGCGCCTCCGGGGCGCGAGCGACATCAATCTTTCAGATTCCATTAGTCTGAGCTTCCCGCTTATTTGTTGCTCGTGATTATTCCTTGCAATTGGTTGCGATTTCGAAGCCCCCGCCTGCAGCGAACAAAAAGACCGTCGCCAGGCGATCGCTATAGATCTTGGGGGCTTGCGCTGCGACTGGTGCATTCCCTACACGCTGGCCGAGCTTGCAGGAGTTGCTGTGCAGGGGGCGGAGGCCTGCGAGGAAGAGGGCACACGTGGATGGGCAGGGGCAGGAGCAGAGCGGTGGAGGGATGAGGGTGAGGATGAAAAGCAGCAGGAGCAGGAGCAGGAGGGCAACGACGGTGTCAGAAAGGGAGGAGGAGCAGGAGATGAGCCAGGAGAGGGGGGGAAGAGGATCAGTGTGATATTGAGGGGGAGCACAAGGACAAGGGAGGAGGAGGAGGAGGAGGAGGAGGAGGAGGAGGAGGAGGAGGAGGAGGAGGAGGAGGAGGAGGAGGAGGTGGTGGGGGAAGAGAGGCGGCGGAGGGGACAAAGGGTAGAGGAAGTATGGGATGCATTGAGCAGAAGGGGGAGGAGGAGCAGGAGGAGGAGGAGGAGCGAATTGGACGAGAAAGAGGTGATCAGTGGAAGGAGGAGGGGCAGGAAGAGGAAGGGAAGAGGAGGCAACGGAGGATGGGGAGACAGACGGATGGATGGATGGATGGAAGCGCCCCCAAATAAGCTAGCATGTGGAAACCTAGGCCGGCCTCGGCGGCAAAGAGAGGAAGAGCAGGAGAGGGGGGAGGGGAGGATCAGATCGACTCAGCAGAGAGGAACGTCGAGAATCTCAGCGCCGCCTGGGACCCCTTCGTAGGGGCTGTAAGGTCGGTGCCCGATGCTCAGAGAACAATTTGGCAGCATGTATATGCTGCCCTGCCCGGCGGCGACGCAACCACCTAGGCCCCGACCAACCGATTGGGCCGGTGATTCACCAGGTGTGAGACCCCGTGGTAGCAGCCTCCTCCTCCTCCTCCTCCTCCTCCTCCTCCTCCTCCTCCTCCTCCTCCTCCTCCTCCTCCTCCTCCTCCCCCTCCCCCCCCCCCTCCCCCTCCCCCTAAGGAGACCCCCACCCCACCCCGTCCATTCCCCCCCATACTTCTTGTGCCTCCCACCATCGTCGTTGCGGCGGCGGCGGCTGCGCCCTCGGACGCCGTGCCGTGCAGGCCACGGGCAGGGGGGAAGATTCGGAGAACATTGCACGGGCCCCGGCCGCTCTGGGAGGCCTGGCCGCCTCGAGGCCTCTGGGCTGCAGGGCGGGCCCTCCTCCTCCTCCTCCTCCTCCTCCTCCTCCTCCTCCTCCTCCTCCTCCTTCTTGCAGTGCTGGATGCAAGCGTGACAGGCCTTCGAGAGCGAGGACGGAAGGCCAGGGAGCAGGCCTGCAGAGGAGGGCGGATGGGGCACGACGAGGGGGCGGGTGATGGCAAGACAAGAAAGCGCCCGGGCCCAGCCCTTGCTTGAGTGACGCGGTCGGGCTGTGTGTCGCATCAGGAAGTGGGCGGGGCGAGGGCGACGGGCAACGAGAGAGAACATGCGACGAGCCCTGCAAGCAAGAACCTGGTTCGTAGAGGGGCATCCACGAAGGGGCCCTCGACAGCAGAAATGGTGGCTGATAGCTTGGAAACGCCTGCAGGTCTTGCTGGGGTTGTGGAGGACGGTCAATGGAGAAGAAGCGTGTTGCCAAATAATTCCCAGATGTCTAGAACATGCATTAAACTTGTTTTCACACATAAAAGCATGTTTAAATCATGTACAGGACACTTTCCCGACACTGTAAACAAATATTTAATTCGATGATCGGACTGTTAGGGTGTCCATTGTCGTGGCGTCCACAATTCTAGGGAAAGAGGTCGGAAAAATATTACAGCAGAGTATCCTTTGGACCGCCTAGCGAACCAGTTGGCCCAGGCTGTCTGCTCCTCCAAGGTTGCATGCCCTATCCAGAACGATGTCATATGAGTCCTTCAAGGGGGCGAGGAGGGAGAAGGGATGATCGAGGAGGGCGCAGAGGGAAGGGAGGAGAGAGGGAGGAGCATGAGAGTGCAATCATGGGGCAGGGGCTCCCGCGACCCTGCCCTGCGCCTCCTCCCTCTCCCTCCTCCTCCTCCTCCTCCTCCTCCTCCTCCTCCTCCCTCCTCCTCCTCCTCCTCCTCCTCCTCTCTCCTCCTCCTCCTCCTCCTCCTCCTCCCTCCTCCTCCTCCTCCTCCTCCCCCATGCGCCCCTCTGGCCACGGGGCGCGCCCCCCCCCCCGCGCCCCCGAAGCCTGTCGCCGTCGCCGCCGTCGTCTTCGACGGCGACGTCGGCGCCGGCCGCGCCGACGACCGGGGCGCCCCCCGGCCGCCCACGGCGCAGGAGCCGCGGCGGCCACCTGCCTCTTCGCCGCGCTGCGGCCCGAGGAGCTGGAGGGCGCGGCGGGCCGCCGCCGCCGCCGCGCCCCCGCGCATGCGCCTCTCCATGCGCTCGGGCGCCAGGGCCCCCGTCGGGAGGGGCCCTCGGCGCGGGCCCCCCCGGGGTGGGCCCTCGGAGCGCCCCCGGAGGCGCTGGGAGGTCCTCGGAGGCCACCGGAGGCCATCGGAAGGCGCTCGTGGAGGGCCTTCGGAGGCCTCGGAGGCCCTCGGGAGGCGCTTGGAGGCGCTCGGATGCGCCTGGAGGCGCATGGAGGCACTCGGAGGCCCTCGGCCATCGGGAGGCGTTCAGAGGCCGGGGGTGAAGCTGGAGAGGGAGGAGGACCAGTAGGAGCATTCGTGGGCTATTCGTGGTCTACGTCATGGGGCCGTTTCGCCAAAAAGGGGCCCAAACAGCGGCGGCCAGGAAGTGCCCCAGCCCTTCTCGCATTGCTGGTGTACTCGGCGCTGGCCCCTCGCATCCGCGGTCCCCGCACTGCAGTTGAGAAAGGGGGTACTTCCCCCCACAGATGCGGGTCCCCCCACAGATGCGGGCCCGCGGTACAGCAATCCTGCAGTGCACGCCTGCGCCATTCTCTCAGGAGCTGATCGCATCGCTGTAGCTGCTGCCACGGCCTGCCGTCTCTCACAAGCCCCCATTGGCAGCAGAGTGCTTTCGGCCACGCGCTGAGGGAAGGGAAGGGGAGGGGGGAAGGCTGCTTAGAAGCACCCCTGCTTCTTAGAAGGCGCGGGCCTCGTCTGTAGATGTGAGGCCGGCGCCTTCTAAGAATCAGCCTCCTTCTAAGAAGCCTTCCCCCCTCTCCCTACCCGCCTGTGCGCGCCGCCAATGCTTCTGCTACAGCCTGTCTGCTCGCACGACCTCAGCATTGCAGCTGCTGGCGGTCCCTGCCTCGACCTTGTCTCTCTCTCTCTCTCGTGACCGCGTTCTCTCGCCGGTGCGCTCCTTGAGGCTTCTTCTTCTCTCGAATTGGTCCCTGCGATGTAGCTAGTCGCGTCTGCTGTGACCTCCCCATCTCACATCTCGCTGCAGAAGCGCCTCAGTGTTGGAATCACGCAAATTCAAAACAGAGCACTCACGACATCAAAACATAATCCGTGCGCGCGGGAGGGGCTATCGCAGTACCTGGAGCGCTCACAATTTGGATTGGAAAACCGCATGGCCGCGCCCCATCTCGCTCCCCCGTTGAAGAAGCCGTCCCAGCACGGTAGTGGATGACGTGGGTCTCTGGTTTGTTCCGTACGTGTTGCCAGCGTCGTTGTTGTTGATGGACGTGCTTCGGTGTTGGCGTAGCTAGGTCGTCGTTGTCGTAGCTGCTGACGCTGGGCTCCGCAGATTTTCACTCTGTTGCCCGTCCATGCTCGGCGCTGTACGTCCCCCCCAGAGCTGCTGGAGACTGCCTCGGAGCGTGCACAGGGTGCGAACGCCTGACGACAAGAGTTCGAACTGGAGGGTGCAGTCGGAGATCGCGAGGTGGTGGTGCAAGAGCGGCTTCTTTGGAGCTCCCTATGAGGCCGCGGAGTAGCGGTGGCGCCATGCGGACCCTGCAATTTGAGCCTGGGGTGTGCCGACATGAGGCGCTGTTGCAATGCGGGCCTTGCCACCGGGGCTTTTGCTGGAGCTCTCCATGGTGCCACGAAGCGTCTGAGTGGTGTGCCGAAATGAGGCTGCGGCGCCATGCGGACCTTGTAACGTGGGCTTACTTGGAGCCCTATAGGGCCACGAAACGTGTGAGTTGCGTGTTGAAGTGATATGGTGACACCATGCGGACCCTGGAATGATGGCCTTAATTGGAGCCCCATATAGAGCCACGGAGCGTTTGCCGAGGGGTGTGCCGACGTGAGGCGGTAGCGTCTTGCAGACCTTGGAATTGGGGCACAATAGGAGCTCCCTTCGGGGCCACCACACGTGTCAGGGCGTTTTGAAATAAGACGGCGGCGCCACGTGGACCCTGCCACTGGGGCCCCCTGTAGAGTTTCCCATGGTGCCACAAACCGTGTGAAGAGTGTGCCGAAATGAGGCTGTGGCGCCATGTCGACTCCGGAAGTTGGGCCTTTGTTGGAGCTCACCATAGGGCCGCGAACCGCGTGAATGGTGTGCCAAAGTGAGGTGGTGGCGCCGTGCGGACCCTGTCACTGCGTCCCTCGGTGGAGCTCTCTATGGTGCCACGAACCGGGTGAGGGGTGTGTCCAAGCAGAGACATACGGAGAGCAGAGGCAAGGAGGGAGGAGCAGGAGGAGGAGCAGGAGGAGGAGGGCGAGCAGTTGTTGTGAAGGGGGGCGCGGCGCGGCGGATTCAAAATGAGGACCCAAATCCACAGGGATTTGGGGAAACTTGAGAAGAAGACGCGTGAGTGCAAGTCAGGACTGTACATTGGCAGCAAGCCCCACTTGGAGGTTCGCCTTTTTTCGTTGATTGCCAGCTTGCAACACAAGGCAAGTAAAGTCGACGCTCAAGTATCCTCGGCTACCACGTTTACACCCAGACAACAGGATGTTCCAGAAGGTCCGATGCCTGCTCAAACTAAGCAGGATCACGCAATTTGGAGGCGACGTCACGGCAATGCATCAAAGTGAAGAAAGTTGCGCAGCAAATGCGTTCCACCCGTTGCGACAGTACATGGTGTCATAGTTACAGTCGGGTCGCACATTTGCAGTAATTGCATCGTCGTCGGTGTGTCAATCAGGTGGCAGAGGACGAGGACTTGCCAGAGCCAGGTATCAAGGCGAAGTTTCTCTCCGAGCTTGTGGGCACGTACTTCCTCGTGCTGACGGCATCCCCTTCTATTCGTGTTGCGACGATTGCCGTTTCGTGTTGTGCCATGACGTGCAGAGTTTGTGGTGCGCGTTAAGGTGCAACAGGTGTGGTTGATGAGGACGCGAGCGCCAGCAGGACGGCTTGAAGGGGTACCGAAGATTGACATTTGCCCAGGGAGGCCAGCGGGAGGCATCATACCGTCATACCTCATACACATGGTGCATTTCTAAGTATTCGAGCGTTCTTTGATTTTTGGGGGCCAAGATCCTTTCATTTCTGATTGTTCTATCCTGGGCCTCTTTACTGGCCGCCAGGGTGCCAGGGACAACTAGAAACGAGCAGAGTTAGAAATGAGCACGGTTAGAAATGAACGACGTGTAGATGAAGACCCACCGCCGTTGCAAGTCGCCGCCTGTCGTGACGGCGGAGGCAGCCGGCCTGTGCCGCCGATCCGGGACGCTCCGTGCGCTGCCGTCCTGCTTAGGAGCTTGTGAGCTGTACCTCGAGGGGGCAGGAGGGAGGAGGAGGCAGGAGGGAGGAGGAGGAGGAAAGAGGAGGAGGAGGAGGAGGAGGAGGAGGAGGAGGAGGAGGAGGAGGAGGAGGAGGGGGAGGGGGAGGAACATTCTGGCAGTCGCCTTAGGAAGCATGTGCTGAATGGAATGTCTGCGTCGTGTCCGTCGGTCGGGCTCGTTGGCGGGCTGGTTCCCGGACGGGTTGGCGCGTTCGTGGGTCGCCGGGCGGGTCGTACAGTCGGCCCGCAGTAGTAGGTCGACCCTGCCAAGTCAAGGGTACCCTCGTGTCCTGTGTCTTGCGACCCATGCCTCCTGCATTTCTGTGGCAACGTGGCCCTCGGAAGAGTCTTGTGCCCTCTCGCGCGTCCTGTCCAATCAAGTCCGACTGTAGCGCGAGGAGTTCGTTGTACACTGCTCCTCTCCGTCATCTCTGTCGCCTCTCATCGAGGACGCCTGCGGCGAATCAAGGCCGCCACCTGCCTTCGGGAGCGCCTATGCGGCCGAACGTTGCGGCCAGAGCTCAGCCACGCCGTCGCACTGTGTGCGCGTGTTCCCAGCCATTGTGGGAATCCTGCGGGGAACAATAGGGGGAAGAAGAAGACGAGGACGAGGGAAAAAGGAGGAGGAGGAAGAGGAGGAGGAGGAGGAGGAGGAGGAGGAGGAGGAGAACTCTTGGGAGCTGTTGGGGTGCTCTCGGGGCCTCCTGGGCGCCTCCAGGACGCCTTTTGGAGGCCTTTCGGATGCCTCCTTGGGCCTCTTGGGGGCCGTGGGGAGCTCATTGGGGGGCCCTTTGGCCGTCTGAGGCTGCTCCTGGCCCGTCTGTCGCTGTCGGAAGCCGTCTTGTGCCGACTCGGGGCCCTCTTGGGGCGCTCCAGGGTCGTTGTGGATGCTATCCTGGGCGCCTTGAAGACCTCCTGGGCCGTCTTCGGGCCCTCTTGGGGTCGTTTCGGGAGCCTCTTGGGCCGTCTGGGGGCCATCTCGGAGGCTTCTTTGGCGCTCTTGGGGCCACTTTGGTAGCTTCGGTAGCTGTCTTGGGACGTCGGAAAGTCGAAAATGAGCAAACGCCAGAATCCGTCAACAACGACAGGAAAATCTATGATGTTGCCCTCTGGTCGTCCTGGAGGTCCTCTTAGAGGCGTCTCGGGTCGTCTTGGAGGCCACTGGAGGCTTCATGGGCCGTCTTGGGCCAGCTTCGGGACCACCTTGGGTTTTCTTAAGTGCATCTAGGGCCTTCTGGGGGACATCTTGGGGCCATCTTGGGCTCTCTTGGGGCCGTCGTGGCCATCTAAAAGGCATCTTGGAGGCCAGTTTGGGCCATCTCGCCTGTCTTGGAGGCGATCTGGGCAACGTGACACGTATTTCGGGCGGCGTTCGGCGGCCATTCGAGCGGTTGTCGGGTTGCATTGGCAATTGTTTTTTAAACAAAAGGCCCAAACTACCTAACGCCTGGCACGCCGTGCACCCCTGTGGCAAGACCACAAGGGACGGCGGATCGAAGACGCCTACGGCGAATCACCGCTGCCCTTTGCCTTTTTAAAAAAAGCGCCCATGCGGCCGAAAGTTGGGCTAGAGCTATCGGGCCATGTGTTCCCCAAGCTGTCGTTGAAACCTTCCGGGGAACACGTGGAGGAAGAGGAGGAGGAGGAGGAGAAGGAGGAGGAGAACGCCTCTTGGAAGCCTCTTGGGGCACTTGGGGTCTCCTGGGAGCTTCCTGGGGGCCTCTTGGAGGCCTCTTTGAGGCCTCATTGGGCCTCTTGGGAGCGTAGGGGCTTGTTCGGGGCCGCTTTGGCCGACTTAGGGGGCTCCTGACCCGTCTGACGCCGTCGGAAGCCGTCTTGGATGCCTCTCTGAACCGACTTGGGACCCTAGAGGCGCTTCAGGGCCGTCTTGGAGGCCATCTTGGGCGTCTTGGAGGCCTCTTGGGCTATCTTGGGGCCCTCTTGGGGCCGTCTTGGGGCGATCTTTGGGGCCTCTTGGACCGTCCCGGGCCGTCCGAACAGAAGTACATGGCAAAATCCTTCAAAAACCAAGGGAAGATAAATAACGTTGGCCTCTTCGGGCACTCCTGGAGGACCTCTGGGAGGCTACCTGGGCAGTCTTGGAGGCCTCTTGGGAGCCTCTGGGGCCATCTTGGGCCGTCTGGGAGGCTTCTTGGGCGAACTTGGAGGCATCTGGGAGTCTCTTGGGCCGTCTTGGAGGCCATCTTGGACCATCTTGGGCGAATTTGGGACCATCTCTGCCCAAGTTTGCCGTCTTGGAGCCCGTCGAGGCCGTCTTCGAGACGTTGGTTGCGCAGCGGCGGGGCCTTCGGGGTGGCCGGCGGCATAGACCGAAAGCCCTGGGGGAGTTCTTTTTGAAAAAACACAACACCAAGCCGTAGGATCTAGCACGCCAGGCACCCTTGTGATAAATCAACGGGGAGCGGCGGATCTAGCGGCCTTCGGCTCATCCTGCCACCGTGACTGGGTTGAGGGCTCGAGGCTCTTTTGAGTTTCGTTGGGATCTCGTGGGGAGCTCCTCGGGGGCTTCTTGGAGGCAGTTGTGCAGCCTCTGGGGGGCCGTCTGGGAGGCTCTGCTGGGCCTCTTGGGAGGAGCAGCAACGTTTGGCGCGCCGCGCGGAGCTCTCGGGTCGGCGCTGGGGCCCCCCCTGGCGGCGACGACCCCTCGCCTCGTTTGGAGACGGGGGCAGGCGGCAGGAGAGGAAGCTCCGAGGGCGAGGGGGCCGTCACGAGAGGGGCCCGCCACGGCAGGGGCCGGCCGTGCCGCGCCCGCGAGAGACCTCCTCGATGCCTCGGCGGCCGGGGGCAGAAAGGGTCTCGGCCCCGGCCACCGTCGATCGGACGGGGCCGGGACGAGGATGAGTCCGCTCCAGAGCGTGGCAGCGAGGCGCAGTCGGACGGGGCCAGGGCGAGGAGAAGGGCATCGAGGCTCGACCGGACGGGGCCAGCACAAGGACGAGTCCGTTCCAGAGCGCTCCAGAACGCTCTGAGGAGGCCGCGGCGCCCGATACGTGCTCCAGAGCCGCCGGACCTCAGAGATGCCCGATGTATCCTCGTCCGGTGTATACCCTCGTCCTGGCCCCGTCTTGCTCGAGGATGTCGAGGGGGTCTCGGCGGATGAGGCAAAGATGCTCGAGGATGTCAGGGGGCCTCGGCGGATGAGGTCCCGAGGCATCGAGGCATTGAGGCTCAGGACGTCAGGAGGATGTGTCAGGGGGTCTCGGCGAGACATTCCGACATCCGCCGATCTGAGTTGTCCAATCCGCGGCCCCAGAGGTCCCAGCTGCTTCCCCAGGGGCGGTTTCTCGTGACCCGGGGCCCGCTACCGGGACCCAGAGGCCGAAGTCGAGAACAAACAAAAAAACGACAGGGCTGAGTTAGTTCTGCGAAGGACCCAACCATACAGTGGAAGCCCATGCCAAGAAACACCCTGCTTGCCTCCAGGGTGCCCCGGGTTTCTTGGGTCTCGATGGTTTTGCTATGGAGAGCGTGACGTCCCCATGCCAAAAATCAATGGACGTCCTGGGGTTTCAGGGTTGGGTTTTTTGTGGAAGGTTTCTTCTGGTAGAACCCCTATTGTGTGCAGCTGTGACTACCGCAAGACAGGTGGAATCTAAGGGAGGGGGCCAGCAAAAGGACTAGGGCGTGCGTGAGAAGGACGGAGGGACGTTGCTGATGGGGTCGCAGAAGTCGGCCGTAACAGGTTACACTTGGATGCAACCCGTGGCGGCTGATCTGCGCGTCTGTCGGCGCGGCCTTTTGGAGCTCCCTATGGGGCGACGAAATATGTGAGGGGGGCGCCGAAATACTGCGGCGGAGAAGGCATGCGAACGCAGCCACTGGGGCCTCAGGTGGAGCTCTCTATGGGGCCACGACACGTGTGAGGGGTGCGCCACTGGGGCCTTAGGTGGAGCTCATTGTGGGGCCACGAAACGTGTGAACGGTGGGGCGGCGAACCGTGTGAGGGGTGCGCCGAAATAGAGTGGAGAAAGCATGCGAGCCTAGCCATGCGGGCCTCAGGTGGAGCTTCCCAGGAGGCCACGAAACGTGTGACAGGTACGCCGAAAAGGTGCGGAGAACGCATGTCAAGGCAGCCACCGGGGCCTCAGGTGGAGCTCCTCATGGGGCCACAGAACGTGCAAGTGGTTCGCCGAAACGGTGTGGAGAGAGGGCATGCGAACGCAGCCACTGGAGCCTCAGGTGGAGCTCCCTGTGGGGCCACGACACGTGTGAGGGGCGCGCCGATGGAGCGGAGCGGGCATGCGAACGCAGCCACTGGAGCCTCAGGTGGAGCTCCCTATGGGGCGACGAAATATGTGAGGGGGGCGCCGAAATACTGCGGCGGAGAAGGCATGCGAACGCAGCCACTGGAGCCTCAAGTGGAGCTCCCTGTGGAGCCACGAAACGTGTGATTGGCGCGCCGATGGAGCGGAGAGGGCATGCGAACGCAGCCACTGGAGCCTCAAGTGGAGCTCCCTGTGGAGCCACGAAACGTGTGATTGGCGCGCCGATGGAGCGGAGAGGGCATGCAAACGCAGCCACTGGAGCCTCAGGTGGAGCTCCCTGTGGGGCCACGAAACGTGTGAGAAGTGCGCCAAAGCAGAGACCACGGGGGGCAGAGGCAGGGATGAGAGGAGGGAGGAGAAGGAGGAGGAGGAGGAGGAGGAGGAGGAGGAGGAGGAGGAGGAGGGAGAGGGAGGAACAGGAGGAGAGGAGGAGGGAGGAGGAGGAGGAGGAGGAGGAGGAGGAGGAGGAGAGGAGGGAGGAGGAGGGGAGGAGGAGGAGGGGAGGAGGAGGAGGAGGAGGAGGAGGAGGAGGAGGAGAGTGAGGGGGAACGCGGGGCGCTGTCTGTTCAAACCGAGAACCCACCACCACAGGAGACGGAGGAGGAGGAGGAAGAGGACGAGGAGGGGGAGGAAGATGAGGAGGAGGAGGAGGAGGAGGATTGGACTGGATTGACAGGAGGAGGGAAATGCCACATCGTCGGCGATTTTCAGGCCCCGCGTCAGGTCGGCCTCAACGTCCTGACGGACTCCCCCGCGGCTGCGCCGGGCCCGGCGCCGGCCGGCCGCGCGGGGCGGGCATCGGACCCCCGACGTAGCGACGTGGGTCACAACGCGAACCCCAGATCGATGGTTCAAAGATGGTCGGCCACGCGCAGAAGCGGGGTTCAACCGAGAGCGAAGTGTCGTGGTTCGCCTTTAGACCTACTAAACAATGTTCTAAGAACCTTTTGTGGTTTCCACGAAATGTTCTTAGAACATTTCTGGCGGAGTCTGTTTTGTTTGATCACATGGGGTTCTAAGAACATGTCGTGGTAGGACCATAGGAATGCCAGGACGGTTGGTCCCTGCTCAAGGGGTAGGGGGGGGAAGGCTTCGTCGTCGTCGTCAGCTGCAGGTACCCGTCGGCCGCTAGCGCGTACCTGGCGGCCGCTGGGATCTTTGGGGGGGATCACGGCGCCTTCGCAATGCAAGACCTCGGAGAGATACAGCATTAAGCGCCTCGGGAACTTGAGGGCCGGAGCCCGACCCGTTATGCCTCCACCGACCTCTTTGCGACCGCCATTGACGCCATGTTGGCGCCACGTCGACACGTCGTCGACGACTGCGCGGGGGCGCTTAGGGCTGAGCGCCCTCCGGGGTGGTCGTTCTGGGCCGCGTGGCCCGCGCAAGGCGTCGGCCCACCTCGCGAGCGCAGCCCACTCGAGAGCCGGGGCCGACAGCCTTTGGGGGCCTCCGAGAATGGCAGCCGCTCAGCGGATTGAAGAGTCACACTGGCGTAGTTCTGCGCGTACCTGCCAGGACGCCTCCTTGCGCAGCCCGACAGTGCCTGCAAGCACGCGTCTCTGATGCGCCCGAGATGACCTGCGAGAGCGCTTCCCTGAGCAGCCCGAGGCTGCCTGCCAGGGCGCTCCCCTGCCCAGCCCGAAGGTGCGCGGCCTCGCCGAGCGGCCCAGGTGAGGGCACGACGACCGCCCTGGGCGGCGCCGGCCGAACGGCGGCGGCGGCGGTGGCAGCGATGGCAGAGGTCAGGCCGGGCGATCGGGGAGGGCGCGGCGGCCAGGTCTCGGCGGCGCGGCCAGCAGCCTGAGGCCGACGGGTGGCGCGGCAGGTGAGGGCGGAGTGGTTCGCGCGGTGTCAGAAGCCAGTGCCCACGTCGTCGGAGCAGAAATGGCCCGTAGCGCTGGCTGCGCTGGATGGGGTCGGAGTAGACGGGGTCGGTGCATCGCGCCGTCGCGCCGCACCGCCGATGCATCGATGATGCAACTCGATGCGCAGCCCGATTTTCGCCACGCCGGCGTCGCCGGCTCATCGCCGACGTCGCCGATGCATCGGCGATGCGGCGCGATCCACCGACCCCATTCACTCGGGCCCCTTTCGGGAGGCCTCTACCAGTGCCCATGTCGTCAGAGCATAGTCTGCCGTACTACTGGCTCCTCTCCGATCTTTTGCGTTCGGGGCTTGACGATCGGGAACGCTGCTCTTGCAGGAGCGGGCCGAGGCGCTTTCGATTGCTGCATCCCTGGCGTGCATGATATTTGCCCTGGGGGACCTCTCCGAAGCCCATTTCAACCCCGCTGTTACCATGGCCGTGTACGCCATCCAGAAGATCGACGTGCGGACTGGTCTGATCTACGGTATCGCTCAGTTCTCTGGTGCCGCGGTGGCCGGGCTGACCTACGTCGCGATCTGCGGGAACGATTTCGCCCTAGGTGCAGCTGCCTGGTGCTTAGAAGGCCCTGGTATCCGCCCATGTGGGCTTCATTGTGCCCCTGCGCTGGCTGATCCGTCGACCAGTCGGCACTGGGGTGGTTAATGGAGCCATCGGTCGGCAGGGTGCTCCCCTCGGGAGGCGCCGACTTATGCAACTTCACGACGATCCTGGCCAGGTCCATCCTGGGTCCAGGATCGGTGTGTGCGCGTGTGTGCGCGTGGGTGCGTGGGTGCGCGGGTGCGTGTCTGGGTGTCTCGGTGTCTGGGTGTTTGGGTGTCTGTGTGTGTGCGTGCGTGCGTGCGCGCGTTTCTGCGTGTGTATGCTGTGTTGTGCTGCGTTGTGTTGTGTTGTGTGTGTGCGTTGTGATGTATTGTGCTGTGCTGTCGTGTGTGTGCGTTGTGTGTTTGTGTTGTTCTGTGCTATGTTCAGGGACCGAACACATGGCTGTTTAGCTTGGCTTTGGCCTTGTGTTGCTTTATGTGTCGTTGTTCGTTGTTGTTCGGTTGTGGGTTGTTCTGCTGTTGGCTTAACGCAGTTGTTTAGACGTGTCGTTATGACGAGCGTTTCGTGTTTCGTGTAGTTTCGCGGCGATCCCAAGGTTTCGTTTAGTTGTTCGTTTTGTTCGTCCGTTCACTGCGCGTTGACTTTCAATGTCCGTTTTGTTTCGCACCGTCGTCCTGGCCGCGGCCCCGCGCTTGGTACTCTTATTGACTCCGGCTCATCGCCGCGCGCGAGGCCGCGTCCGCCAAAAAGTGTGCGTGTGTGCGTGTTTGTGAGTGTCTGTGGGTGCGTGTGTGTGTGGATTCGCAGCCAAGCTAGAAGGGCAGATACGCCGATCTTGGGCGCAGTATCTGCCTGTCGACGCTCGGTGTTGATGCACGGTTGGCGTCCTCCTGACTGCATCGGGCCGGCTGCGTGGGGATCTGGAGGAACAGCCGTGGATCGGTCCGGGTCCTGGTTTCGAGGGGGGGCGATTGGCTTCTGAGGCCGGGTGGAGCTGGACTGGGGTGGCCGCGGCGGAGACGGCGTTCACGTTTCTGCTCTGCTTCGTCATGCTGAGCGTGACCATGTCGTCCAAGCACAGACTCTCCGAGCTCTATGGCCCGGCCCTGCAGCGTCTTCGGCCTCTCCGCCCCCCTCTCCCCGGCACGCCTCGGCCTCCGGCTCGCGCCCTCGCCCCCGAGTCCCTCCCTCCCTGCCTCCTTCGCTCCCCTTCTTCGAGAAGCCCCTGCTCCTCTCGCTCCAACTCCTCCTCCCCCTCAGCACTCCTTCCGTCGCCGTCCTGCCCCGAGGCCTGTTGCGAAAGACGCATACCTCCCTGCCCCCGTGCCCCCCCCCTTCTGCCTCCCCCTCACCGCACTCCTCCTCCTCCTCCTCCTCCTCCTCCTCCTCCTCCTCCTCCTCCTCCTCCTCCTCCTCCTCCTCCTCCTCCTCCTCCTCCTCCTCCTCCTCCTCCTCCTCCTCCCTCCTCCTCCTCCTCCTCCTCCTCCTCCTCCTCCTCCTCCTCCTCCTCCCCCTCCTCCTCCTCCTCCTCCTCTCCTCCTCCTCCTACTCCTCCTCCTCCTCCTCCTCCTCCTCCTCCTCCTCCTCCTCCTCCTCCTCCTCCTCCCAAGAACCGTTTGGCTCCGTCGCCCATGCAGTGGGGCCGCGGGGTCGCGCCGAGCCTCCGCGAGGCGTTCTTGGGGCCGCGCGCCATAAGCTGTCGGGCGGCAGCTGGTGGCTGCGCGGTGCCGATTCGGCGCAAACTGTTTGGAAGTCAGCGGGACGTGCCACAGTGCAATGCGACCTTCACCTGTGCCGCGGACACCGCGGGATCGCATATCGAGTACGGTTTGTGCTCGACCTCCTGCATACCTTGCGCCACAGGGTTCCGAGACGTGCAGGCCGCCCCCTGGAAGACCCATTGCGGCCTCGCGGTGGAGCTCCTCGGCGGCGGCCAGCCGCTGACGACGCGCCGCGCGGCGGTGCCAAGGCCACTACCCGCTGGCACCCGACACCGCCCGCCGCCGACTGCCTCTGCCAAGCGAGGCGCGCACCCGCAGAGACGCCACCCGTCTCAAGCGGGATGATTTCTTGAAGGAGGCCTTCGGCAGCCAGCCCGAGCCACTCAAGGCTGACATATCCACCGGTGATTCGGACGGCGAAGGGTTCTCCTCCAGCGACGGCGACGACTCGTGGGCTGATGAAGTTGAGAACTTGCTGCTGCCGCCGCCACAGGATGAAACGCCCCCCGCGAGGGAGAATGGCGCGCCGTGTGGCAGGCCGCCCCAGCCCAGCACCCGCAGTCTCAGCACATTCGCCGAGCCGCCGCTGCTGGCCGCCGCCCACGACGCTACGCCCGTGGCTGAGGAGGGCGAAGGTGACCGACCCGAGGCCCGTGCTACTCCCAGGCGCCACACCATCGATGAGGACGACGCCGACCCGTTCGAGTGCCTGGACGGGGACGACGGCCAGGGCTTCCCACCGCACGAGGACATCGAGGAGCCCCCCGAGGCCGAGCTGGTCCTAGTGGGTGTTTCTGACCACGGGCCAGTGGACGGCGGCCGAGTGGCGGTTGAGGAGGTCGGCGGAAATCAGTCTCAGAGTCACCTTGGCTCTGTGGCGCGGCAATCACAGCCCCTCACGCCCCACCCTGTCACCTCCATCTCGCCCGTCTGCGACGACTGCCCACACCACGGAGGAGATGTTCCCTACTGGATCTGGGCACGCGTGGGAGCGAGCGGCTAACGCCAGAGCTCCAGCTTTTATTCTGTGGGCAGCGATCGGCGAGTCGGCAGCCTACCGCGTCGGCGCCAAGGTCACTGGGCCTCCCAGCGACGCCTACGCCAGATGAGTCCGTCAGGTCGAAGGGGCTGCATGTCGCCATGCACGAGAACCCCAGCATTGCCGAGGCCTCTCCCGAGGCGGCGGTGTCCACCCAGCCGAGTGCCAGGCGTCCGCGGTCCAGCGCACCATCCACGCGGAGGTCACTGACACCGACTACGCAGTGAGCTGGAAGGCGGCACTACATACTGCCCACGGGAATTTCGCGCACTACTCGAAGAGGGTCGTCGGCGGCACCCCCGTTGCGCGCGCAGCGGCCGCCGAACGCCGCCGCGCTGCTGCCGAGCGTCGCCGCCTGGTTCAGGACGCCCCTGCTCGCGCCCGACGCGCTCCTGCCGCTAGCCGAGGCGCGGGTCGACACGCTCGTGGGGCAGCTGCAGAGGAGCCGCCCATCACTTGAGCAAGTCTCCGTCGGGGCCCTCGCTCCCGGCCACGCTTGCCCTATCCAAACCGCCGAGCATGTGCCGGAGGTCGTGCTGAGCAGCCTGCGCTGTGGGCGGGGGCGTGCTGTTGGCGCCTCCTTGCGCAGCTTCAAGGATTGGATCGTCCCGCCGCAGGGCCCGCCGGTGCTCTTCAAGTCCTTGAGGGGGCAGCCCGGCCTGGCCGACGAGATGATCGACCCACAAGGATGTCAGTCCGTCGCCCACCCCCGCGACCTGGTGGATCACGAGGCCAGAGTCTGGCATGAGCTGCGGGCGCTTCACCAGGAGGACAGGCACGCGGCCGACACCTGGAGCGAGCTGCGTGAGTTGCTCGGCTTCGAGGACCCCCCCGCGCTGGGTCTCCTTCAGTCGAGAGCCGCCTTGAAGCGCATGCGCCCTCGCGCAGGCAGAGGCGCGGACCAACTACGTCCTACTGATGGTGAGCGGCTACCCGACAACGACCTCACGGGGCTTCTCGACTTGCACTCGGAGTGCGAGCAGGCGGGCTGTCGGCCACGGCGGCTGCCCTTGGTCTCGGGGCAGCGTTTGGCCAGGAAGGCGGGGGGCGAGCGCGTGATCGGCATTCTCTGCATGATCGCCCGCATCTGGAGCCAAGCTCGCGGGCCCGATGCCCAGGACTGGGGCCATGACGAAGCGCCGCCTCGGGGCGCCGCGGCCCGCTAGAACGCCGCCGCCTTCGAGGCCTTCGTCGGCGCCACCGACGAGGAGGCCCGCAGCACGATGGGTCTGGCGCACTCGCGCGACATGCTCGACACCAAGGCCTTCTACATGTCCATGGACTGGGTCAAGCTCGGACGCGCCGCCCCACGTCTGGGCTTCTCCCCGCCATGCTCGCCCTCGAGCTTCAGTTGTGCCCCGCCCCGCGGGTCTTGATCCGCGACGAAGCAGCATCGCTGGCTGTCCAACCCACCAGGTACATCGTGCAGGGGCTGCGTTCAGGGACGCGGTCTGCGCGGCGCCTCGCTTACTTCATATTGGATAAGATCACGCAGCCCAAGCCGACTGGCACCCTGGCCCCCCGCATGTGGATCGACGACCTATCCGAGGCCGCGGTTGGCACGGGGCCAGGCGCAGAGAGCACGTTTGTCGCCACGGTTGCCGAGACCTGCGACGCATTTGTCTCCGACGGCCGCTGCATCTCGCCGAAGAGCGCGGTCATCGCCAGCCGCCGCGGGCTGGCCAGGCGCATCATGGATGCTCTACGCGTCAAGGGTCACGTCGCCTCGGCCACCAAGTGCTCACCATGTCCCGGAGTCGACCTCACTGCGGGCAAGGGCACGCGGCGACCCACCCGGACTAGCTGGACGAAGAAGGCTTTCATGTCGCATCTTCGTGTTCGAGGTTTCGTGAGGGCCAGCAAGCAATACCGCGCGTGCTCGCGGATCGAGATAGCCCCCCCCAAGCCGCAGCCAGCTACGGGCGCCAGATCCCGGGCACCCCAGCCTTGCGGCGACGCAAGGCCCGCCAGCGCCCTGGCGCCGTCAGCGCCGCAGCTGGCAAGGGGACGTGCCTCACCACCGCCCTGCAGCTCCCTGCGCGGAGCTCAGGATTCTGCACGGCGCCTCCGGCGACAGCAGCTCGAGCTCTGGTTCCAAGCATTGCGTCGCGATGCCGACTTCAGGCGGCGAGTTCAACAAGCGCGGATTCCGATCCACTATCAGCTACGGGACGCTCCACCTGCTTAGCGCCATCGCCACGTTCGGGGTCCGACCTCAGCGCTGCCAGCTTTCTTGATGGAGTGCGACTGGGACCCCGGGGGCCCGCTCGGGTGGGTCCGCCACCTCCCTGGAGGCGGATGGGAGCGCTGGACATTGCGCAACGTGGAGGCGCTCGTCGACGGCTCCACTCAGCAGTTGCTCAACGCGTTCGACGCCTCGGCACTGGAGCAGCTATGGAGCGACGCCGCCCTCCACTGGCGCGGGGGAGGCCTGCAGCATGGGGCCGACATGGCCTCCCATCGCGCCATGGTGAAGATGCCCGAGGGACCCCAGCAGCACCAGCACCTCGCGCCGCTCCTGGTCTCTATCGCTGCTGGCGGTTCCTGGCCTGGCGAGCGGGTCACCGACACCTGTGGCACGCAGGACTCGGTCGACTGCGCATGTCCCAGGCGCGTGCGCGACGTGGAGACGCCGTTGCACAGGATGTGGACGCGAGGCCAACCAGGGGTCCAAGGCTTACAACCTCAGCGCCCACCTCGCCGCGAGAGCTCACGCTGAAGCTGAGGCCTATCCCTGCTTTCTGGCGCCGAGGCGCCCTACCTAAGGGGTGGACCCGCGTCCCAGCTCCTCCCGACGAGCCCTGCTGGACCAACACCGGCGACGCGCTAGGCCGCCAGGGCCTCGGCATCGGCACCACGCACGAGCCCCTCGCGCTGTTCGGCGACGCCAGCGGCGGGCCCGACTCGATGCATCCTCAGTTCCGACGGGTGGGCGTCGCTGTGTGTAGTGTTCGTTGCGAGGCCCTGGGGTCGATAGCGCCATCTTCGGTCCTCTCGCAGGTGCACGGCAGACGGCTCATCGTGGCGAGCTTCAGGCATTGGTGCTGGCAGCCCGCCAATCGCGCGGCCCCGCGGTTTTCTTCACCGACAACTTGGCGGTCTGCGAGGGGTGGTGGTCGCGGTGCGACAAGCATCCTGAAGCCGCAGGGCAGGAAGCCGACCTGTGGTTCGTTGTGCGAAGCGCGCTTCAGCACCGCCCCAGGAGCGACTTCACCGTCGAGCACGCAAACTCGCACCTCACGCCTCAGGAGGCGCAAGCACGAGGACTATCCCAGGAAGTGTTGCGCGGCAGCGCCATCGCCAACGTCTTGACTGGTCACGTTGCAGATCGAGGGCGACTTGACGGCGGTGTTCGGCAGCAGCTGCTGACCACGGAGGTGCTCGCGACCCAGGTTCGATGGCGGCTACTGAAGGCCACCATTGACGGCACGGCAGCCGCCGAGGCCCGCGGTCGGCCCCGCCGCCGCCCTGGTCGACGCGTGGCCCCGCCCTCCATCGGCATGACCACCGCCTTCAGCTCCACGCACGCGCTTCACGACGACGGGATTAGCTGCCGGAGTTACCGCACGTCTGCAGGACACACCAGTCGAGCAGCGTGGCTAGCCAGCGCATGCAAAGGGCTCGCGGCTTCTGGTGACGATTGGGCCCGTCCCGCCTCAGCCGACACCCCGTTGCACACCGGTGACCAGCAAGTGCACGAGTCGCATGCGATGCAGCTGCAGGTATCTCTGGACGCGTGGGCTTGTCGGGCATGTGGCTGCTATGCGTGGCCAGGGTTGCGCGCGCTCGGGCGAGGCCTGCTCGCCAAATGCCAAGGAACCACACCTGCTGGCCGAGAGCATCTCGAGCGATTACGTCAAGGTCTTTGGCCGAAGGCAGGCGTCACCCTGTGCTCCGACTACGGCGACGGGCACACCGCCGAGCGCGACGCCGACGACTGCGGCACCCTGGACGTAATCCGGTTGCCGTGCAGGCGAGGGGTCAGGCGGAGCCCCCTGGTGCTCGCGCAGCCGCGGCACGTCGCTGGCGCGCCAGTGCACCCACGTGACGGTCGGGACGGCGGCGACGCTCCCGATGCCGAGCGGGGCCCTGGCGTCAGTTCGCAAAGTCCTGGTGTGCCAACGCGGCTACCAGGCCCCTTCGCCACGGGCGTCAGTTCGCGAAGTCCTGGTGCGCCATTGCGGCTACCAGGCTGGCCGTCGCCACGCGTGCCCAAGCTCGGCATCGATCTGGACGCGGAGGACGTGGAGGTCGTGATGCCCGTGGGCCGGCTGAGCGCCACGAGCCTTCGCCAGGGGGCTGCCGCTGGCGCGAGGCGCGGAGAGCGCGCCGCTACTGGCGGGGTAGCGCGGGCGGGTTCCGATCACCACGAGGGGAGGCGCGATGGCCAGGGGGGGGGGGGAAGGGGATCAGCTCTGGGAGCACCCCAAGGCCCCCCCCCCAAGGAAGGCACAGCCACGCGACCGCTCCATGGGCGACACTCAGGCGGACGATGGCGAGGGGGTGTGCACGAACTACGGCACGGTCTACGGCTCGAGCTCCGATCTGCTCGAAGTCACCGTTGATGGAGGCAGGCATAGGCGCATCCGTGGCGCGAGGCCGACCACCGCGCGGGCGCTCGGCCCGTGCGCCAGGCCGCACGCTGGAGGACCTGCATCGGAAGTGCGTGCCTCACTGCCTGCTGGGCGTGACGGAGGTATCGACCTCGCTTGGGGAGGTGGGGAGGTGGTGAGCGTGGCGTAGTGGTTCGTCATGTCGGGGACTGCCATCACAGCGCCCACGTCTCGGAACCGAGCCTGGAAGGTCCCGCTGTCGGAGTTCGCGACCAGCTCATGGAGGAGCGCGGCGACGCAGGCAGCGACGTGGAGTTCGACAACGTGTCGGGCGCCGAGCGGGCGGTCTCCGAGGTGCTGGCCCTCCCCCGGGAGCATTCCTCGGAAACCATCGCGGACGACGACTACATCGTGCTGGACACGGAGCGCATCATGTGCCCCATCGCGGCCACCGCGCTTCTGGGCGGGCCGCCGCTGGAGGTGCTGACATGGCTGGCGTGGGGCGCTGCAGCGAGGCCAGGGGTACCCAGCAAGACGGGCCGACGGCTACAGAGGGTGGGCTGGCGATGGCTGCCCTCAGTGACACTGCTCGCCCGAGGAGTGGTGCGCCTTCCCTAACTACGGATACCCCGCTCGCTGCTGGGCCCACTGAGCCGAGCAGCGCCCCATCTCGCAGGTGGCCGAACGTCGACCAGGCCAGCTCGGCTGCAAGGCGGGCCCTCATCACGAGCTCGATGATCACGGCAGCCACCGCCATGCTCAGGGCGGACCCCGGCGTCGAGCCCGACGCCGTCCCCGACGCCGTGGCCGACATCATGCCCGACGAGGTGCTGGAGCAGTGGGAGCCTGTCGAGGAGCTGGGCCAGCCCGAGCCGGCCGAGGGCAAGGCGGACCTCGGCGTCGAGCCCGACGCCGTACCCGACGCCGTGGCCGACGTCATCCTCGACGGCGGCCGTGGCCCACGTGTGCGCGGGTCAGCGCGGCCACCAGCGCAGCCGCCGCGGCTGCCCCACTCACCTTCGCTGCAGCCCGCCATGTCCTTCGGCGAAATGGTGCGGCGGGTAGCGGGGCCGCCGCCAGCCTGCCGCGGGCACCGCGGCTGAGGCGGCCAGGCCAGGTTCCCCGCGACTCGGGCCGCTGGCCAGGCCGCTGGTCTTCCTCCTCCTCCTCCTCCTCCTCCTCCTCCTCCTCCTCCTCCTCCTCATCATCATCATCCTCCTCCTCTCCTCCTCCTCCTCCTCCTCCTCCTCCTCCTCCTCCTCCTCCTCCTCCTCCTCCTCCTCCTGCTTCTCCTCCTCAGGTGAGGCACCTTTTCAGTGTGCCCCTGCAGGCTCCCTCTTTTCCCGAAGGCTAGCTGAGGCATTGTGGGCCAGGTTAGTTCTAGCAGCAAAAACCTCCTCCTCCTCCTCCTCCTCCTCCTCCTCCTCCTCCTCCTCCTCCTCCTCCTCCTCCCTCCTTGTCCTCCTCTTCCTCCTCCTCTCTTCCTCCTCCTCCTACTCCCCTGTCCCCCTTCCCCGTCCTCCTCTTCCCCCTCCCTCTTCCTCCTCCTCCTGCTCCTCCTCCTCCTCCTCCTCCTCCTGCTCCTCCCTCCTCCTCCTCCTCCTCCTCCTCCTTCTGCTCCGCCTCCTCCTCCTCCTCCTCCTCCTCCTCATCCTCATCCTCATCCTCATCCTCGTCCACACCCCTCCCTCATCCTCCTCCGTCTCTCCTCCTCCTCCTCCTCCTCCTCCTCCTCCTCCTCCTCCTCCTCCTCCTCCTCCTCCTCCTCCTCCTCCTCCTCCCCATCCTGCCCCACGTCCGTCTCCTCGCCGCCCATCCATCCCGACCACCTCCCGCTCATCCTCTTATCCATCCTCGTTCTTCTCGTGCCACTTCGGCCCCCTCGAACTTACACCCGCCACCACATGTTGTCACCCTGACCCCCCCCCCGCCCACAGCAAGCAAAAACGACCTCCACAGCAAATCCTGGGCAGAGGCGGCACTCCAAGAAGGCGAGAGGCGGCTCAGAAGCACTCCCACTGTTTGAGACGCCGTTCTACGAACCCCTTTCTCCTGTCTCTTTTGGACACCGCCCCTCTCGCGCCACCTCCCTCGTCGCGCCGCCCGCACGATAGCGCAGTCGATACGAATCGCCAATTGGTCGGTGCGTTGACCCTCCGACGTCTCCGAGGCGCCGCCTCACGGTCAGGAACATTGGCTTGACGTATCGATCCGGCAGCTCTGGCCCACCACGCTTCGCTGCCACACGCTATCCGAATGTTCACTCCCAGGCGTCAGTGTCCCGAGCCCTTCCCCAGCCTCCCGCCCCGACGGGTGGAGCGGCACGCTACCGACTTGCACTGCATAGTTAGCGTGTCGCTGGGGCCGCAGCCGCCGCCTCGTGCGTAGCGCACCTCCTGTTCGGACGTTCCGCGCATGCAATAATGATGCCAACATTATAATATAGGGATATAGGCCTATAGTGTTCTGGCAGTGCTGTGCCGTTTTTTCGTGATTAAACAGTAGTACAACGTTTGCACGTTTCCAGGTTTATGGTGTTACCTTGCTTCTCCAACAACGCGACACGTTAAGCAAAAGTTCCTGACCGTATCCTGTCCGCTCCAAGCCCCGACTCTTACGCACCGCCGCACCGCCCATCCCAGCCGCCCCAGGCCTGGCGATCGCCCTCTGCGTGGTCGCTGGCGGCTTCGCCGCAGGCGGGCGGCCAGCCAGAGATCAGCTTGCTGACAAAACGCTTCAATGGAGGGGGGACGTGTGGGCAGTGAGGGGCTAGTTAGCAGAGGAGGGCTAGTTGAAACAACGGTGGTTGGCCTTCTGGGGGGACCCTCGTCGCCACGGCTGGACGCAGCTCGGAAAGCTCGTGCGTTTGGACCCCGGGAGGGGTCCAGGGACCGATGATATTGAGCTGTCATCATATCATTCTGCCCTGCTCCGAAGTTAGGAGATGTAGGTTGGGGGGGGGAGGGGAGGAGGAGGAGGAGGAGGAGGAGGAGGAGGAGGAGGAGGAGGAGGAGGAGGAGGATACGCAGGAGGAGGGATCGGCGCGCGGGCAGAACCGCGGTGTTGTGTGCTGTGGGCCCTGCTCCTGCGAGGAAGATCGGCTGCGGGGCGCTTTGGCGCCGCATCCGCTTCGGCCACCCTCCTCGCCGTCCCGATGGCCTGCGGCGTCCCGCCGGCCCCGGCCTCCCGCCTGCGCCCTCGCCGTCGCCGGATTGCTGATCGTTCCCCCTCTCCCTCTCCTCCTCCTCCTCCTCCTTCTCCTCCCCTCCTCCTCCTCCTCCTCCTCCTCCTCCGCCTCCTCCTCCTCCTCCTCCTCCTCCTCCTCCTCCTCCTCCTCCTCCTCCTCCCCCTCCCCATTCCTCCCCCTCCCCATTCCTTACCCTCCTCGTCGCCGCGCAGCACAGGCTGCTTGGAGCAAGCGGCGCTGCCGCGATGGGCCGGATTGTTCTGCGGCTCTGAAGCGGGTCCGCGAGTGAACGGTGACATCTGCGGGCAGACGCGCGCTCAGTACGATCGAGAGGGGGGCGGAAATAGCGGGGACGAGGACCGGTGGCGGTTCCTGTCCATGTTGAGCAGTGTCTGCCGCAAGTCGGAAGAAGCGAGGCTTGCCCAACAGGGGCCGCTGCAGGGTTCTGGGCAGCATTCGCTGGTGGGCATCTTGCCCATTTTTTCCGTACCCACTTCGAGCATGCCAGCGCGTGGCTTCTTATAGTCTAACCCGTTCACATGTACACACCTCGCTAAACGCCATGCGGAGAGGTGGCGCCCAGCGAAGTGGCGTTGCGCGCTCTGGGGGCCTCTGTCCCAGGAAGGAAAAAACACAAAGACACACATAACCGTCGATTCCCAGAAAGCATGGAAGGTAAGGGAAGTAGAAGGGAAGACGAACATCCAGAAAATATCGGAAATGTGGGGGATTATGTGAGTTGTGTCTATGTATTTGTGTGTCCCTCGGCCCCTTCACTGTGCCCCACGCGTCCGTCTTCGGGCACGCATGAGCCCATGGGGGGGGCGGCTGCGACGGACCCCGCGCGCGCGCACCCTCGCGCGGGGGAGCGCGGCAGACCCACAACTGCGGCAGACGCACACTCTGCGCTCCCCCGCAACACGGGGAGCCCCCGTGCGCACAGAGCGGATCAGCGTGGTGGTTTCCGGGTCCTCTTCCTCCTCCTCCTCCTCCTCCTCCTCCTCCTCCTCCTCCTCCTCCTCCTCCTCCGCCTCCTCCTCCTCCTCCTCCCAGCCGTCCAGGACCTTCGGGCCAGACGAAAGGGGGGGATTGGGAAAGGGAGGGTTACGAAATCTGCATTCCTCGAATACCTGGGTGCCTCCCGGCGCCGGGAGGCGGCGGGAAAATCAGCTACGTGAGCTGATTCTCCCCCCCCCCACCGTTCGCCCAGCCCGAGACCTCGAGGACCGCCTCCAGAGGCCCAGGAGGGCCGCTGCTCTCCCTCTCGTCATCCTCGAACGAGCGCGCGGCGCGCACAACGCGTGGGGGCCTGGCAGGCGGCGTCTCCCGGGAGCCGACGGAGTCTCTCCTCCGCTTTCTTGTTTCTGCTATTGTTTCATTTCGTATTGATCTTCCTTCCTCCTCCTCCTCCTCCTCCCCCTCCTCCTCCTCCTCCTCCTCCTCCTCCTCCTCCTCCTCCTCCCCCTCCTCCTCCTTCTCCTCCTCCTCCTCCTCCTCATCATCATCATCATCATTCATCCGTCCACCATCCCGTCCTTCCCCCACCCGCCGTCCTCATCCCTCCTCTCTCCCCCATCTCCTCCTCCCCATCCATCCCGCTGCGCCTCATCATCCATCCTCCCTCCCTCGTCCCGCCTGCTCCACTTTCATTATTTCTGCCCCCCCTCCTCCCTCCTCCTCCAGCCGCACGTTCCAGCACGGGGGAGCGCGCGGCGGCGGAGGAGGAGGGGGAGAGGGGAAGAAGGAGGGAAAGAGGAGGGAAGACGGGAAGAGGGAGAGGAGGAGGCAGGGAAACGGAAGATAGGAAGAGGAGGACGGGAAAGAGGGAGGAGAAGGAAGAGGGGGGGTGCAAGGGGGGAGGGAGGAGAGAGGAGGGAAGAGGAGAGAGGGAGGGGGTAGAAGGAGAAAGAGGAGGGAGGAGTGGATATGTCTCTTCCTCCACTCCCTCTCTCTCCTTTCTCCTCCCTCTCCCTTTTTGTTATCCTCCCGTCCTCTCGTCTCTCTTCTGTTGGTCTTCGTCCCCTTCCTTCTCATCTGTCCCTCCATCCTCCTCCCCTCCTCCTGCCGCCCTACGAGCATGCCCCAGTCCCAAGCGCACGGGCGGGGTGGGGGTATGGAGTGTGGAGGACGAGTGGGGGGTGTAATGTGGAGGAGAGGGCGCGGAGGATGAAGGAGGGGGCGAACGGAGGAGGGCGGGGCGGGGGAAGGGGATATGGAGGGAGGGGGACCACGAGAAAGCGGAGGGGGAGGATGAGGAGAAGGAGGGATGACCAGTGTGAACCCAAGACTCCTTAACGAGATTGCAATGAGCCCTCCCTCTAAGTTCCCTCTTCCGAGGCCCCATATAAGAATTCATGTTCACTGAGGGAAGTGCCGCGTTGGAAGACAACCGTTTGAAAATTCTGGACTGTGCCAGAACACCAGTCCCGGGACTCTAACGCCGCGAATCACCGTCACGGTTGCGTCTTGACGATCTTGAATCGTACCAGAACGACTTTCCTGGAAAGTCAACACCGCGAATCAACGTACATGTTGCGCCCAGACAGTCCGACATCGTACCAAAACACAACTTGTGGGGCGTCAACCATGTGAAGCTTTGAATCCGGTGTAAACTCTTAAGACGAGTGTGCGCAGTGCCAAGGCGAGAGCCACATTTTGAAAGGAACCGGGCTTCGTCCGTGAAGCCCTTGCAAATTGTCAAGGCGAGTGCGCGCGGCGCTACAGCCAGACGCCACATGTTCGAAAGGAGCCGCCCTCCATCCGCGGAGCTCTTACCTTTTGCCATGCGAAAGCACACGGCGCTAAGGCGAACGCCACAGTTTGAACACCATCGGCCCTCCATCCGCGAAGCTCTTGCGAACTTATCAGACGAATGTGCGCGGCCGCTTGTGAAAACCACCCGCCCACAATCCGTGATACTCTTGCATTACAAGACGAATGTGCGCGGCGCTGATGCGAGAGCCACGCTTTGAAAACGGCCAGCCCTCCATCTGTGAAGCTGCTGCTAATTCTTTGCACAAGTACCAGGAATGGCGAGGAGCTCCCCGGCGAAAGGCACGGCCCGCTGACCCGACGCGCCTCGAGGCTTGACGGGGAGGAGTTCTTTATGGAGGAAAAGGAATGAAGCGAGGAGGGGGAAGGGCGGGAGGAGAAGAGAAGAGGGAACAGGAGAAGGAGGAAGAGGGCCAGTGCAACCCAAAGACTCATCGGCGATGTTGTAACAAACACTCCCTCAAGCTCCCTCTCCACATGTTCCTCCAAGGGTTCAGTTCCACTCAGGGAATGGGCCAGTTGGGAGACAGCCGTTGGAAGATCTTGAGGCGCAACAAAACACCATCTGGGAATTTCAACGCAACGAATCATCCTGACCGTTGCGTCTTGACGATCCCGAATCGTTCGTGCCACAACACCGTTTCCTAGGACCCCAACACCGCGAGTCAACTGAACTGTTGCGACCCGACAGTCCCGAGCTGTGCCAAAACATTGTTTTGGGTACACAGCCATGGGAACCGCGAAACTCTTCGTAATTTCTGAAAACGAATGTGCTCGGCGCTACGGCGAAAGCCACATTTTGAAAAGGAGCCGCCCTCAACCCGTTAAACCCTTGCAAATGTTTAATCGAATGCGTGCGGCGTTGAAGCGATAGCCACATGTTGAAAACGACCCGCCGACAATCCGTGGAACCTTTCCAGTTGTTTCAGACGACTGTGCGCGGCGCTGTGGCGAGATCCACATCACATTTTGCAAACCGCCCGCCTTCAATCCGTATCTTGCAAACGTTTCAAACGAATGCGCGCGGCGCTAACGCGAGAGCCACATTTCGAAAACCGCCGCCCAAATCCAAATCGAGTGCGCGCGGCGCTAAGGCGAGGGCCACATTTTGGAAGCGGCCCGCCCTCCATCTGCGAAACTGCTTTCATTTGTTAAGCTGCAGGATCATGCATGGTGAGGAAATCTCAAGCGAAACGCCTGGCCCGCCCTTCCGACCGGTCTCGGGGTGCGACAGCGAGGAGGTATGTATAAGGAAAAGGACGTAAGGAGGGACGCGGGGAGAGGAAGGAGGAACGAGGAGGAGGAGGAGGAGGAGGGAGAGGAAAAGCGGGGGAGGAGAGGGAAGGAGGAAGAAGAGAAGGGAGGAGGAGAGAAAGAAGGAGGAGGAGGAGAAGGATAATAATGAGGAAGACAAGGAGGAGGAGGAGGAGGAGGAGGAGGAGGAGGAGGAGGAGCAACTGGAGGTGGAGGTGGAGTTGACGGAGTAGTTCAGGGAAGAGGAGGATCCTCCTCCTCCTCTTCTTCCTCCTACCCGTCGCTCTCCTCCGCTCCGTCCCCCCAGTGCCCAGCGCAACGCCACGGCAACGCCGACTTTGGAGGAGGAGGAGGAATAGGAGGAGGATCCCTCCCTAATCCGCTCCCGCCGCCTTCGCCGCCGCTGCCGCCACCGCCGTTGTCGTCGTCCGTCGCCGTCGTCGCCGTCGCCGTTCTCGCCGTCGTCGCCGTCGTCTTCGTCGCCGTCGCCGTCGCCGGGTGCCGCCGTCGCCGCCGGACGACGTCGTCGTCGTCGCCGCTCTTTGGCCTCGTGGCAGGCGGCGTCTCCGGGGGCTCCCTGAACCCCGCGGTGTCCTTCGGCGTCGCCGTCGGCGACCGGGGCGCCTCGGCGGGCCAGGCGCGCGCCCCCGCGGGGGGCGGTGCCCTCGGCTGTCGCCCCCCCTCGGCCCCGTCCCGCCTCCTGGCTCCAGGGAGGAGGAGGGGGAGGAGGAGGGGGAGGAGGGGGAGGAGGAGGAGGAGGAGGAGGAGGAGGAGGAGGAGGAGGAGGAGGGGGAGGAGGAGGGGGAGGAGGGGGAGGAGGAGGAACAGGAAAAGGAGGAGGTGGATATTGAATCATGCCAGGACACCATTCCTGGGACTTGAACCGCACGAATCCTCAAAACGAGTGGGAAAGTTCAAGACGAATGCGCGCGTCGCTGCGGCGAAAGCTATTTTTTCGAAAAGGAGCCGCCCTCCATGTTGAAAACTGCTGCGAACGTTGAAGACGAACATGCGCGGCGCTGAGGCGATCAACACATTTTAATCCGGCCGCCGCTCACCCGCGAAGAAGTTGCTCGCTTTCAAAAAGAATGCGCGTGGCGCCAGAGCGAAAGCCCAATTTTGGAAATGAACCGCCATCCATCCTTGACTCTGCTGCAAACTTGCGTAGCGAATGCGCGCAGAGCTCACGCGAGAGTCACATGTTGAGAATGGCCCACTCCCCATCCGTGACATTGCTGCGAAAATTTAAACCGAATGTGCGCGGCGTTGAGGCGAGAGTCACATTTTGAAAACCACCCGCCCTCCATCCATACAACTGCTGCACGTTCCAAGCTTCAGGATCAAAAGTCGTGAGGAAGTCTCATGCGAAATGCCCGACCCGCCCTAACGACACGACTTGGGGTGCGGCAGGGAGGAGTCATTTGAAAGGTAAAAAGGCAGAGGAGGAGGAGGAGGAGGGAGGAGGAGGGAGGAGGAAGGGGGGGAAGAAGGAGGAGGAAGGAGGAGGAGGAGGAAGAGGAGGGAGGAGGAGGAGGAGGAGGAGGAGGAGGAGGAGCAGTGCAAACCCAAGACTCATCAACGATGTTGGAATGAACCCTCCCCCAAGCTCCTTGTCATAGGCCCTTCCGAAGTCTCGTTTCCACGGAGGGAATCGCCCCGTCGGGAGACAACCGTTCGAAAATCCTGAAGAGTGCCAAAACACCACTCTGGGAACGTCAAGCCCACGAATCAACCTGACCGGTGCGCCTCGACGGTCCTGAATCGTGCCAGAACGCCGTTCCTGGGATCTCAACACCGCGAGTCAACGCAAGTGTTGCGCCCTGATAATTCCTTCACCGTTCACAAATATATTCCCTGTACGTGAACCATGGGAATGCGCGATGCTCTTGCAATTTGGTTAATAGAACGTGCGCGGCGCTAAGACGAGAGCCACAGTTTCACAGGGAGCCGCTTTAAACCCGTTCGAGTACAGCAGAGCACAGAACCAACCTTCAGCCCGCCCCCCCGTTTGGAGGCGAGGTCTTTGGATTCCATCGTAGGCAGACAGGCTTCGGAGCAAATTGCGAATCCAGCGCAGGCGCATTCCTCCCCCTTCCACCTTCCAACCTCTCTCCCCGCCTCCCTCCCATCTACCCCCCAACGGCAGGTTCGCGCCTCGCGCTGCGTCGACTCAGCGGCGACGCCGGCGCGGTCGGTCAAGATGGAATGCCACCAGTGGCCCAGAGTCGGCCGATATCGAATGATCGGCGGAGCGACCCGCGCGCTGTCAGAAGACGGCGCCGACGCCATCGCGACGCGAACCCGCCGCCATACGACCTCTGCTACTTCCCGTCAGCGCCCTTGCCGCTCGGCCCACCTGAGCGATGGAAGAAAACGGAGTCGATTGCGCGGACAGTCGCGCGTAAGTTTCGCGGGCTTCTCCTGACCGTCAACGGCATCCTGGGGGGCCGTGTCTACAACAACGGGCCGCAGAAGCAACGCAGCCCGACGATCGGCGATCGAGGCTGTCGGGCTTTGTTTTCTGGTCGGGGACGGTTTGGAGGCGTTTCGGTGTGATCGTTGGGGGTCTTGGGGGCAAGGGGAGTTGCATTTTTTGGTTAGTGAGCGACGGAAGACAACGGAGTCGACTGCACCGACATTCGCGCGCAAGGTTCTCGCACAAGGTCGCGCGTCAGCGTCAGTTTCTCCACCTGGTGCGCCACGCTGGCAGCCCGCGTAAGCCGCGGCGTAAGGTCACTTTATATTCTCGCGTAAGGCCCGTGTCCTTGTCTGTCGTCGCTTACCTGTGGAGGCTCTGCTGTACGCTGGCTTCGAGTTTCTCAGCAGCGTGTTCGCCGCCTCGGCGTTCATGGTGACGCAGGGCGAGTTCTGCTAGCGGCGGATGGCGCCCGCCGCGAGCAGCGATGGGGCACGCGGGGACGCCGCTGAGATGAACGGCAAGCCGACCAACCACCTGGCGACTTGCAAAAAGCTACGCGAGCGCCCGCCCCGTTTGCAGGCGTCGTCCCACGATCGGCCGCTCTGCTTTTTGGGGGGGGGGCGGGGAGAGAGTCGTTGAGACTCTGCTGATCGCCCGTGGCGTCACCGCATCCTCCGTGGCCGTCGGCGCCGATAGCCCACGCCTCCTTCCTTGCTCTGAGGTGCCGCCGTGGCTGCGCGCGTGCTGTGCCTGCCGCGCTCGTGCTCCACACGCCTTCTCCACCCGATGGCCACGCTGTCGCAGCAGCGCGGCCAGCTGCCGCTCTCCACCACATCGCCCCCCCCCCCGTCGACCTCCCTCTGCGTTGCACGGTCCCCTTCTCCCCCCCCTCTCCGCCTGCCTTCTCTTTCATTTCAGGGCTGGCCGCTTCCAGACGGCCCCCGGGGCCCGATGGCTGCCAATGTGGAGCCGAAAATGGAGAAAAACAAAAAAAACGCCCTGATTTGTTGAAGCCCGGGTCCCTCTCCCCCTCCCCCCCCTTCAGGGACAGGAGCATGACCATGACACGACGTTCGCAATCGACACCGCGCACACCATAGTGGATTATTCGGAGTAGGTTCGCGAGCGCGAGGCGTTCAACCCAATGTATGTATTACGCGTTGGGAGAAGGTGCGGAGACCTGAGCGTACGATATGTAGATAGATGTGTATATGTGTACAGAGAGGTATCTACATACATCACATATGTATATACAACGCGCGCGTATGCTCTTCGTCCTATTTGTCGTGCGGGATCCGTGCTAATGGATGATAATGTGATTAAGCCAGTGTGCGCTCATGTTGTTGCTTTTGAGGGTGAGGGGGGGTCGAACCCGGGCTGGCTGGGATGATATGATTTCATATGTGACACGAACGAGGAGGCAGGGCCACATTTAACTTGCACTTCCCCAGGGATGCGGATAAGGCTAGCTTCGGGAGGGCAACAGCTGTCGCCGTCGCCGCCCCGTCGCCACGTCGTCGCAAGCCGTCGACTGGGCCTGACCGTCGGTCTGGCGGTTATGTTGTCGCCGTCGCCGCCCCATCGCCTGTCGTCGCCGCCGTTCGTCTGGGCCTGACCGTTGGTCTGGCGGGTATGTTATCACCGTCGCCGCCCCTGCCGCCGCTTCGTCACCGTTCGTCGTCCAGGCCTGACCGTCGATTTGTCGGCTATGTTGTCGCCGTCGCCGCCCCGTCGCCGCCTGTCGCCGCCCGTCGTCTGGGTCTGACCGTCGGTCTTGCTGCTATGTTGTCCCCGTCTCCGCTTCGTCGCCGACCGTCAGATTGCACCGCAGAATTCCTCTTTTCCAAAAAGGAAATGCTCTACTTCCCCCCGGGAATATTGACACCCTTTTCGTAATGCAATGTACAGACGATTCTGCCCCACCGCCCATCCGAATTATGAATCCATACCATCCCAGCCCAATCGGTATCGACCCCCCGCTATCCCCTGCAAAAAAAGTGCGCGCACAGTCGTTGATCAAAAAGTCATTAAGTGTTCAATAAGCCTTGCCAACAAATGAGACGAAGTGCGCACGCGCGCGTCGTCGCGCGCGCATGCCGAAATCCTTCAAAAACGGTTGGTGTCGTAAGGATGTCAAAATCGAGTGCCCAAAAAGCATACAACAACACATGGTTTTGCAACACGGATGTCCACAAACACTTGCGTGCGCGCTCTTGCGAATTCTTAAGAAAACCATTGGTTTGTTTCAACATGTTCATAACATGCTACCAAGGGGGCTTCGCGCGCGCATGTCGAAACCGTTCGAACGCCACTGAGCGCGTACAGGGCTGGCACGAGCCGCTTCAAATAATACCACGCGGGCCACTCTCGCGCGTCTGCCGCGCGCGCATTTCGAATTCCTTCCAAGACTTGCATCACCGACGCGAAGACGCCGTCATCGTCGTCGGCGTGATCAGCATCGGCGCCGTCGTTGGTTGCCCCGTTGTCGCAATTAGCATCGTCACCAGCATCGCTACTATCATCATCGTGTTTACCGTCGTCGACGTTGCCATGATACCGCGCCCGCCCAAGTCGCCGACTTGCGTTGAAGTGCCCGCTGGGATGTGCCCAGCGGTCAGCGCCACCGCGTTCGCGTCGGTCGCGCCAAACGAGCTGGCCGCTGCACGCGCGCGAGCATGCGCGGGCTAGCGCGGCCGCAGAGATGCACCAGCCAACACCAAGCACTCTTCGCAATCGTTGCCGCATGGGTTTTGCAAGCCAAGTTGCGGGTGGGTGGATGGAATGATTGCGCGAGCAGTGGAGTTGTCAACTTCAAGTTCGGCAGGGGAACCCCCTTTTTCTAAGATTGCCGGGGGGGGTACCCAACTCTTTTTGAAGCGCGTGGCGAGAATACAATGGATCGCTCAGTACAACAACCAGCACCTAATGATCCGCAATACCATTGAACGCTTCGCCAAAGAACGTCGGGCCAGACTCCGATGTTCACATATGCGGCGCCATTCTTAAGAGTCAAGTCGTTGGCAGGCGAACGACCACGAGGGGGCGTGGAAACATGTGGAGGAGGGACGATTGGAGACGTAGTGCGTGGGAGTAGCAGCGCCTTGCGCTTTGTTCGCATCGCAGGACAGCGCTCAGCGCGCTATGATAGTACAGCACCTTGCGCTAACAAACAACAGGCAGCTGAAGAAGGGATGCGGCATGGGCAACGGACAGCGCCATGCGCTATTCGTTGCGCGGCGCTCGCGCACGCCGCGCCACTGCGATGGCCCTCCCAGAAGCCCATCGCAGCCCCCCGGGGGACGGCGAGGTCTCGTGGTGATTTGCGTTGGACCGACCCCGGCTGGCAATCCCAGAAACTCACGAAAGCGGCGACAGCTTTGACAATCGCAGTCCCCCTGGGGACGGCGAGTTCTCGCGGTGATCTGCGTATGACGTACCTCCGCTGGCCCTCCCAGGAGCCTTCGAAAGTGGCGACAGTGTCCCAAATCACAGACTCCCAGGGGACGGCGAGGTCCCGCGGTGATCTGCACGGGACGTACTTCCGCTGGCCCTCCCAGAATCTCGCGAAAGTAGCAACAGTTTCGCAAATCGCAGCCCCCTAGGGGACGGCGAGGTCTCGTGGTGATCTGCGTATGATGTACCTCCGCTGGGCCTCCCAGAAGCCCACAAAAGTGGTGACAGTTTTTGCTGATCGCTGACCGTCCAGGGGACGGCGAGGTCTCGTGGTGATTTGCATGGGACGTACGTCCGCTGGCCCTCCCAGAAGCCAGCGCTAGTGGCAACAGTTTCGCAAATCGCAGCCCCCCAGGGGACGGCGAGGTCTCGTGGTGATCTGCGTGGGACGTTTCTCCGCTGGCCCTCCCAGAAGCCCACGACAGTGGCGACAGTGTCGCAGATCCCAGCCCCCCCGGGAACGGCGAGATTTCGTGGTGATCTGCGTGGGACGTGCCTCCGCCGGCCATCCCAGAAACCCACGACAGCGGCGACAATTTCGCAGAACGCAGAACCCCGGACAGCGAGGTCTCACGGTGATCTGCGTTGGACGTACCTCCGCTGGCCCTCCCAGGAGCTTACGAAAGTTGTGGCAGCGACGCAAATCGCAAGCCCCCCAGGGGACGGCGAGATCTCGTGGTGATCTGCCTGAGACGTACCTCCGATGGCGCTCCCAGAAGCCCGCGACTGTTTCACACATCGCAGCCCCCCAGGGGATGGCGAGGTCTCGTGGTGATCTGCGTGGGATTCACATCCGCTGGCCCTCCCAGAAGCCCACGAAAGCGGCGACAGTGTCGCAAATCGCAGCCCCCTAGGGAACGGCGAGGTCTCGTGATGATTTGCGCGAGACGTACCCCGCTGGCCCTCCCGGAAGCCCACGAAAGCGGCGACAGTTTCGCAATTTTCAGCCCCCCAGTGTGCGACGAAGTTTCGTGCGAGGAGGAGGAGGAGGAGGAGGAGGAGGAGGAGGGGGAGGAGGAGAGGGAGGTGGGGCAACACAGCGCTCTATTCAAAGCGAGCACCCAACACAGGAGGGTTGGGAACCAAAATAGACGCCACACCCACGAACGCGGAGGCACGAACGAACGAGGAGGCAGGGCCATATTTAACTTGCACTTCCCCAGGGATGCGGACAAGGCTAGCTTCGGGAGGGCAATAGCTGTCGCCGTCGCCGCCCCGTCGCCACGTCGTCGCAACCCGTCGACTGGGCCTGACCGTCGGTCTGGCGGTTATGTTGTCGCCGTCGCCGCCCCATCGCCTGTCGTCGCCGCCCGTCGTCTGGGCTTGACCGTTGGTCTGGCGGGTATGTTATCACCGTCGCCGCCCCTGCCGCCGCTTCGTCACTGCTCGTCGTCCAGACCTGACCGTAGGTTTGTCGGCTACGTTGTCGCCGTCGCCGCCCCGTCGCCGCCTGTTGCCGCACGTCGTCTGGGTCTGACCGTCGGTCTTGCTGCTATGTTGTCCCCGTCTCCGCTTCGTCGCCGACCGTCAGATTGCACCGCAGAATTCCTCTTTTCCAAAAAGGAAATGCTCTACTTCCCCCCCCCCCCCGGAACATTGACACCCTTTTCGTAAGGCAATGTACAGACGATGTTGCCCCATCGCCCATCCGAATTATGAATCCATACCATCCTAGCCCAATCGGTATCGACCCCCCGCCATCCCCTGCAAAAAAAATGCGCGAAGTGTTCAATAAACCTTGCCAAACAATGAGACGAAGTGCGCACGCGCGCGTCGTCGCGCGCGCATGCCGAAATCCTTCAAATACTGTTGGTGTCGTAAGGATGTCAAAATCGAGTGCCCAAAAAGCATACAACAACACACGGTTTTGCAACACGGATGTCCACAAAAACTTGCGTGTGCGCTCTTGCGAATTCTTAAGAAAACATTTGGTTTTCAACATGTTCAGAACATGCTACCAAGGGGGTTTCGCGCGCGCATGTCGAAATCGTTCGAACGCCACTGCGCGCGTACAGGGGCGGCACGATCCGCTTCAAATAATACCACGCGGGCCACTCTCGCGCGTCTACCGCGCGCGCATTTCGAATTCCTTCCAAGACTTGCATCACCGACGCGAAGACGCTGTCATCGTCGTCGGCGTGATCAGCATCGGCGCCGTCGTTGGTTGCCCCGTTGTCGCAAGTAGCATCGTCACCAGCATCGCTACTACCATCATCGTGTCTACCGTCGTCGAC